TAATGTCATAATTCAATATATTGTGTTTACTTTTTGGACTTAAAAAGAATCTTTGCTTTCTTGTAATGTCAGTGATTATTTGTAACTGTACAAAAGATTACTGCTCAGTAGACAAATAAATAAATTTTACTTTTGTAGAGTTTTCAAAGAGTATTTTTATCCGATTGTGATCATTTTTATATTTAAGTTAATGTATCCTGCTAAACTTTTCCTAAATCTTCACAAAGTGTTGAAATGATAAGTTTTTTATATTTAAGTTAATGTATCCTGCTAAACTTTTCCTAAATCTTCACAAAGTGTTGAAATGATAAGGTTTTTATATTTAAGTTAATGCATCCTGCCAAACTTTTCCTTCTTCCTTCAAATCTTCACAAAGTGTTGAAATGATAAGGTTTTTATATTTAAGTTAATGTATCCTGCCAAACTTTTCCTAAATCTTCACAAAGTGTTGAAATGATAAGTTTTTTATATTTAAGTTAATGTATCCTGCCAAACTTTTCCTAAATCTTCACAAAGTGTTGAAATGATAAGTTTTTTATATTTAAGTTAATGTATCCTGCCAAACTTTTCCTAAATCTTCACAAAGTGTTGAAATGATAAGGTTTTTATATTTAAGTTAATGTATCCTGCCAAACTTTTCCTAAATCTTCACAAAGTGTTAAAATGATAAGGTTTTTATATTTAAGTTAATGTATCCTGCCAAACTTTTCCTAAATCTTCACAAAGTGTTAAAATGATAAGGTTTTTATATTTAAGTTAATGTATCCTGTTTTTTAAAATAGTTTTTTAAAACAACAGTACAAATTAACTATTTAAAATAAACAATTGGTAAGGCGTTCGTGTTACGGTTTTATTTTATTTTTCAATTCTTAGATTATGAGCTCTTATTGCTAACGCTGGTCCGTTTGCTCGCAAAGACGATGTAACTTGTTGCCTTTTATGTCATTAATGCTATTGCCTTTTATGTCATTAATGCTATTGTTCAATAATTTGTACTCTTGTATGAGATTGTCGCGCAAATGTCTTGAACATAGTCAATTTCATTTTGGTTTCAATGATAGCGTGACGTTACATTTTACAAGAAACTCGTCTTTAGATCTATTTGCATTTACTTTAATCAGGGCCGTCCCTAACGGGAGCTGTAAAGGGTGTCCACGCACCAGCCCCCATCCTTCCCCCCTCCAAAGGCTGTTATATTTGCATTTAATTTAGTATATTTGTACATTTAGCATTTTAGTTGACAAGTTTTGAAGTATAGTTGGCTAATGTCAAAATGACGACCTTTTTTTTTTCGTCTTAAGTTGGCAGAAAACATATACGACACCCCCTTCCCCCTGCTCCATGAGAAACCTCTTCAGGACAAGTCAGGGACTTTAATAAATGGTTTTATTTATTAAAGTAAATGCAAAAAACATTTACGTTTTACTAAGTTAAAATTTCTTCAAAATTTAACGTAAAAAAAATAAATAAAATAACCTTAGATTTTTAAACAGAATATGGCATCGCGGTAAAGCAAGACTCGGGAAATTAGGGAAAATAAGAACCTTTTGAGTTTAAAATTTACCAAGAAATTAGGAAAATTTACCAGGAAATTGAGTTTTGAGTTTAAAGTTTACCAGGAAATTAGGAGTTAAACAGTAAATTAATCTCCTGAAATTGAAATCTTGAAATTTAAAGGTCATTATGCTACAAGCCATAATTTCCCAGACAGTTAGAACTTTTGAAGAAAACACACAAAATTTCAATTACGAAATTTTGTAATATTTTTTAAAGTTAATGATCAAGATATTTTCAAAATGTTTGATAATCAGTTTAATATAGAAATAAATTATACAAACCAATCAAATGGAAGTTTTTTTGTTTTTATCTGTTTTTTTTTTTTTTTTTTTTAACAAAGGATAAATCAAATAGTGTATCGATAAACGCAATACTTGTAAATTGTTTATTTGTTATAATTGTTTATTTGTTTACGTATAAAAAATTATGCTTTTTAGTCAGTTATGCTTGTAAACAAGTTATTTTCACATATATTTATGAGGCGAGGCGGGTAAAGGCATAGTCAAATTTTTAAGGTGTTTATTTATCTCTTTCAAAAGTTTTTTAACCAAAAAATAAAAAAAATCCTAAATAAAAACTCTAAACATTTTATTTAATATAAACTATCAATAAATAAAAATAAACTTTATTCTATAATTTTTTTATACTTCACTTTGTATAAAACTTTTCAAGCGATGAATAAAAACATTCTAAACTTATTATATGTATAACTTAGATGTAATTAAATCTGAATGACTTTGATGTAATCGATTAATACTGGCATGAGCAAATCTAGACCATCTACTAAAGGAGGGGGCATTTTTTTGGTTTTTAAAAAAGATTTCCAAATTATCTAAGTTCTTGTAAGTTGCTCATTGAATAGTTTTTAAAGTTGGTCAGTTGGTCAATAATAACATCTTACAAATATCTTTGTACACAAAGTTGATGTTTTCTAAATATTACATACTTTCACCAAAAAGCAAGCTTCAACTTGCTTCACGATTTAACAAAAAATGATGTTTAGTAGAATCTACTTTATAGAATAATAATTGAACGGGCATGTAATATAGATAAAAACGTTATACATCATAAAGAAATATATTATTTTAAAACATCAAGAAATACAGTTTCTCTCAATACAAATAACTTTATTATAGAAAATATTTTCGCTAAGTTATGGATACCAGCATCACCATCAATAAAGAAATATTTACATTTTGAAAATACAATATTTAACTTAAAAAACCAGATTAAAATGCTCCGTTTTATATATAAATCAAGGATCTTTTTTAGCAGCTCATATTTCAAATGTTCTTAAAATTTAATTGTTAAGAGATAAGATAGCTTGAACAGTTTAGTATTTCCTAATATTATATGCAAAATTAGATGCACTACATAATTTAAAGATATTTTAAGAAAAATCTCAGCAGAATTTTATTGCTAAAATTTAACTAGAGCTCTTATGTTTTAATTTAATTTATGTTCACACAAGTTCTTATTATAATTGTTTATAAATGATTATATCATTCTCTTTGAGATGTTACAAATAGCATATTTATAAGCCATAGAGGCACAATTTCTAAGAGAATTCAACTCCATCGGACTGTCGAATCAGGAAAGCTAGCAGGTGTTCCAAACCCCAGTGTGCCAGAACACTATTGATGAAATAAAACCTCCACCAACTTTTTTTATTGTAAAGAGAGTCAAAGAGTAAGAAATTTGACAAAAAACTAAAAAAATTTTAAACTACTTCAGTCGAGAAAATATGAAGGTGAAAGAAAATTACAAAAAAAATGTTAGATGTATAAAAGTTATTATCTTAGCTGAATTAATCCATCCATAGAGTTTTTCTTATAGAAAAGATAAAAGGATTAAAAGTATAAATCTTGAAAAAGATAATAGTTTTAGTGAAAGTTTGACATGCAAATCAAAGAATGAAGTTAAGAAATTAGAATTTTCTAAAAAATGAGTTATAATGTAAACTATCTGAAAAAGATAGAGAAAAATAAAGATTTTAGGCTTAAGATCCTACAGAGTCAGTGGTCAGCAATTCATTGTAATAAGGAATTACAGTTACCAATAATAACAATATTGGTCGAGGGATAAAGGGAAAGGACTTGATCAATTTTATCAATAGTAATATTAAAATGAGTGCAGTGTTGGGAAAAAGAACAATGATAAATTACAAAAAAAAAAAGGCAATCGAGTTGAAAGGTGCTAAGCAAAAACATATAAAAGAATAGTCAAAATTTCACACTTTACGGGAAAATATACCCAAACTTAGCATGTGACTATTGGAGTCTTTGCAAATCAAAAGAGAGATTGAATAAAAATGATGATAATATTGTTTATATATGCATATATATATATATATATATATATATATATATATATATATATATATATATATATATATATAAATATATATATATATATACATATATATATATATATATATATATATATATATATATATATATATATATATATATATATATATATATATATATATATATGTATATATATATATACAGTGGCGGATTAAGATTTATTGTGGCCCGGGGCTTATTTTGTTTTTTAGAGGGCTTTTTATAGGCCAGCGCTTAAAAATGACTTTAAAAAAAAAAAGTCCTCTAAAACTTGCGGGGGCCCCTAAATTTGCGGGGTCGGGGGCTCTAGCCCTGATTTGATCCGGCACTGTATATATATATATATATATATATATATATATATATATATATATATATATATATATTTTTTTTTTTTTTTTTTTTACTGACACTTTTGATCATGTTTTTAACTAATAAGAATTTGATTCAATTAAAGTTAGTGTATGACACCCTCAGCAAGAATCTATGTGGTTGCCTCATTTCTGTTAATCAACTTATCATAACAATGGGCTCCTGATAAGACCTTCACAATGCACAACAAAAGCACAAGGTCTATGTACAACATGGCACTGTAAATACTATAAAATTTCACAACTATTGTTGGTATCACAAACACTAAATTACCACATAATTCAGAAAACTTTATTAGCAACCAGTTTTAAATTTTTTAACTCTACTGGGACATGAAAAAAAAAAAACTAGTAGAGTTAAAAAAATCCAAAACTTGTCAACTGAGGCAGATTTACATATATTAGCCTATTAGATTAAGCATTGATCAGGTGTGAAACTGATCTACAAAAATATTATACTTATCCCTATAGTATTTGCCTCAGACGTTTTGAATTTTCTTTCAGTAGCTATACAATAAACATCTACATAATAAAAATGTAATACAAGTAACTCAAATAAAATACTATTTGTTGACATACTAGATGCACATTACAGATGCACTAGATATACAAAGATTTTTATCACTCTTGTATTAATACTTTTGTATTACTCTTGCATGAAATCTGGCAATATATAGGAAATGATTATGATAATAATTTTATTTTAAATAATATTGCATTTTAGATATTTCTAACGTTCAAGTGTTTGTAAGAGCATGTCCAACATTTTCAGATGATGAAACTATTAATCTAAAATTTCCAAACAAAAATGAGGTATGAATATATATATATATATATATATATATATATATATATATATATATATATATATATATATATATATATATATTATTTTTAATATAGATATGTAGGATTTTATGTCTACTTTTTTATTAACTATATTTTCTTTTTATTTTTAGTGTTATTAATAATTGTATTGTAGTTAATTTTTTTCAAATATTGTTTATTTTTTTTTTTAATTTGATAATTATACCAAGTATTTTTTATTTTTTTTGCTTGATGATTAATAGCAGAAAAGTATTTAAAAATATAAGGTATTATCCTTTATTATAAAAGATAGCCATAATTTAAAAAAACAATTGAAAAAACAATAAGAAATAACTTTTTAACTTAACTATAGGTTTTTAACTCTAAATTTATAAAACTATTGAAGATTTTAGAGTCTGAAATTTGTTAATTGTTAAATAATAAATATCAAGTACATGTTTTTCTCAATAATTAAACAATAAAAGAAATTACTATCAAGCAAATAAGTTAAATTTCATTCTTATAAAACACATTAGTTCTTATGGAAATTAAAGAAATCAGTATAAATACTATATAAAAATTAGAATAAATATATTAATCATGGTAGTTGTATAAAATTACAATGATTTGAACAAATCTGGGACCAATACAACCCCAAAATTTTTGCCTCCTTGCTTAAATGTGAGAGCAATAAGTTGATAAATAATTTTTTTCTATTCTCAACTAGACTTATATTTATTGATAAATTTTAAGTTTTGTAGTATAATTTCTTAGCATTCAAAAATTATGACCATATAAAATTTTTAACAAAAATTATGACCATATAAAATTTGTAAATTTTATAGTGTATTTTTTTAGCATTCAAAAGTTATGACCATATAAAATTTGTAATCCCCTTCAATTGAGGGGTGTTTAAACTTTATATTGTAATTTTTGATTGCTAAGAAAATATGCTATGAAACTATTTTTAATTATTATGGTTTACTTTATGAAAATATTGTATCAACTTATTGCTCTCATGTTTGGGGCAGGGGGGCAACAATTTAGGGCTTTTTTATTCCCAGGCTCTATAAACATATAAATGTTTTTTTTTTTTTTTAATTTAACTGTTAAACGTTAAATATAAAAATATATATATTTTTAATTTTATTTATAATTGTATTGTAGTTAGTTTATTGCAAATATTGTTTATTTTTGGAGTTTGCTCCATGTCTGGAAGTTAGCTGTCTCAAAATCAAAATATGCTAGATCCACTTCTGATTTCTATACATTAATTTAAAAAGGGTAATAATAGATAATTTTTTGTTAACTTTATCAATCTGAAACAAAAACATTTAAAAAATTGATTTTTGAAATAAGAAGTTGAAAAGTCAACTTTTTATTTTCAAAATATATTTTTAAAAAAGTGCTACAATAAAAAAAGATGCATTAAAAAATTTTTTTTAAGCTGTAATTCATTTTTTTATTTAGTGAACTTTGATTTCTAGGAGCATCATTTTTATATACTGTTACTCTGTTTTTTGTTAGTTTTGATTTTGATGTTTGTTATGTTATTTAAATAATAAAGCAATGACAACTTATGAAATAAGTTTTAATGACAACTTATGAAATAAGGTATCTTTTGATATTAAGATTGGAAAAGATAAAATTTAGTTAAAAGGGTACATGTTATTTAGTTTTGTTTATATCAGTATAGTTCTAAATATTAGAAATGTATTATTTTAATATAGATTTAAATTTTATAACTAATAACCCTTTCACTACAAAATACTTGATTAACAAGTCTTCGACATAAATTAACAAAATAAGCGTGGTATGACCAGGAGTATCTTGAGTTTGCATAAAAAACTACCTCTCAAAATGTTTGGTCATTTAAATAATTATTGTGGAAATAGAATAATTAATATGGAATAATTATTTTGAATAATTAAGGTAGCAACTTTGGTAGACACGTTACTATTACTGAATAGAAACCTTTAATCATATAAATGTTTTAAAAAGAGTTTTTTGATTTGATCTTATATTTTATGTCTGTATAATTGATAATAGAAATAATATATAATGTTTATTACTTTATAATCTAATTAATAATTATTTAATTTATAATCTAGTTTTTAATTTTTTTTTAAACAGATTATCTTGCAAGATGGTGGTAAAGAAACAAAATACAAATTTGACCAGGTCTTTCCACCTCAATCCTCAAATGAAGATGTAAGATTAAGTTTAACAACTGTTATTAAATTTCTTTGTTGCAAAAAAGTTATTTTATTAGTTATAGCAGAAGAATCATGTTACAGAAACAAGTTATATGTGTTTATATAAGCACAGGAGTTAAAGCAATTTTCTAGTATAGTTTATAAATTTAATTAGCTTTATTAATAAAAAATACGAATTTATTATTAATAAAGCTGATTTTTTTAAATTTATAACTAGTATTTAATGATATATAAATGATTAAAAATATATTAGGTAATTATAATTAGTAATTATTTGTTAGAAAACAATAAAGTAACACTTGTACACAGATTACTTCATTTTTTAAAATTTAGTCATTTGGTGACCACACATTTAATTTGTGTTTGTGTTTTAATAATTATTCACAATTATTATACTTTTATTTTCTTACTTTACCAGTTTCTTTGTATTTAGCATTTTTAAATAGTAATCAAGAACATATGTCCAGTAATATATATATATATATATATATATATATATATATATATATATATATATATATATATATATATATATATATATATATATATATATATATATATATATATATATATTAATTTATAAAAATAAAGAAAACAACTTTTTTTGGTACTAATAGTTTCATGCCTAAAGGCAATCATCAGCCATGTAATACAAAACAAGAAACAAAAAAACCGTTAAAATATAAAGTTACAGTGGAATGTGCTCCTCGTCAAAACAAAACAAAAACAAAAACCTAAAAACGGCTGCCTAATCACCCGTATCGAAATTCGAAAGGAGGAACTTGCTTTTATGTCTACATTTAGATACTAATTCATTCCTCTTATTTAATAAGTTATCATAGGTGTACGATATTATGAAATACTTTTCGTATAGACATAAGTTGCATCGTTTTATTGTGGGATTGTAAGATCTACAACGTTTTAAAATTTTCCATTTAATTGTCGGGTTTACTCCATTTTCTTTTAACTTCCATACTTCCTTAGACAACTCAGTATCGTTTTTATATTTTTCGATCTTAAAAGATTTTGTATGATTAGCGTATCTAAGTTTAAAAGCAGTTTCACTTACTCCAAAATACACTTTTTCAATCCCGTCTGGAGTGCCTGGATATAGAGTGGCTTGATACACTATGTTATTAACGAGACACTGTTGATTTAAAGGGCACTTGCTTTTAGTAATACAATTGCAACTTTTATCTGATTCTGGGGGGATGCTTTTCATAATATGACGGTTATGAAAGTTAACGATTGATTTGATGTTTGGCATACAACTGTAACTCACCTTTAGAGTATTTCTATTAAAAATCTTGTGGTATTTATGTCCAACTGGAAAGTTCTTGTCAATTAAATCCAAAAAGATTTTACCAATTTTAGTAGAAACATTTTTACTATATGGGGGGTTAAACCAGATAATATTGCGCTTACGGTTTTTTGGTAGAGGTTGAATGAGTTTTGGAATATAATTAAGTTTAAATTTGTAACCAGACTTTTTTAATGCATCCTGATACAAATGAGCAGAGCTTCGAAAGCTAGTGTCATTAGATGAATTAGCTGACAACCTTAATTCTATAGAACGAGGAAGTTGCTTTATTATGCTAGGAGGGTGATTGGAATCAACATGTATATAATTTAGTTCATTGATTGGTTTACAAAATGGTCTAAAAGATTGATCATTGAGATTAAGTGTTACATCAAGGAAGTTCACAACTTTCATGTTACATTGTATGGAGATAGAAAGATTGTTATTTTTAAAAATTTGAATAATATGTTTTTTTATCGTGTCCATAAGGTGGCCACTAGCATTTTTAAAAACCGCTAAACCATCATCTCGGTATAAGCCAAAATCTGTCTTGTTATAATGCTGTGATAGCTGAAAAAGAAGAAAAACTCCGACAAGCTCACATACTTCTGCGCCGTCAAAATATATATATATATATATATATATATATATATATATATATATATATATATATATATATATATATATATACATATATATATGTATATATATATATATATATATATATATATATATATATATATATATATAGAGAGAGAGAGAGAGAGAGAGAGAGAGAGAGATTGATAGATTGATTGATAGATAGATAGATAGATAGATAGATAGATAGATAGATTGATACAATATGTATGTGTGTATATATATTTTTTCTAAATTGTATATTTTGATATATATTTTAATATATATTTTTTTGAATAAGTTTTTAATAACAATGCTTTTTTGACAGATAACAACATCATTATGTGGTCCACTAGTTTCTTCTGTTTTTAATGGGTTTAATGTTAGTTTCATTGTATATGGACAGACATGTACAGGTAACTTTTACAATTAATATCTTTTAAAAATATTAAAAATCAATTATTTATTTTTGTTGTTTAATTTATTAGGAAAAACTTATTCGATGCTCTCTCAGGATGGAATGATACCCACAACAGTACGCAAGTTATTCGATTGTCTTTCGAACTATACCGAATACAGTTATTCACTTAGTTTGTCTTATTTGCAAATTTACCAAGATCGGATTTACGATTTGCTTTTTAACAGCGAAAATGGTCCACTTGCACTGAGAGAACACCCAAAAGATGGTATTTTATTATATGATAAATGAAAAAGTGGGGCTCAGTAATCTTAATATTTTTACTCAGTCTCTTGTACATTAGCGTTTATTTAGATCAAAATCCTCTTCATATTTTGAACCTAAAAATTCTTGAACAATAATTTAGGTTTTCAAGACATTTTTTTCTTGTTATCTTGTTATCTATACTTTCCAGCAAACTTTTAAAAGATTGTATGTTCTATTAATCATAAAAATGTGTTAATGACATCATATATTAAACAAAAATTTACTAACAAATCTGTAAATGAAAAAGACACAAAAATAATAGTTATAAAAAAACTAGTATGTCTAACAAAAATGTAGCTTAAATTTGTCCCAAAGAGCACAAAATCAACTCGGATCAGGAACAAAAATCAATTAATGACTGGATAAATATGGCACAATAGCATCTAAACAAAAAAATTTTTTTTTTAATTCATACAATGTTTTGAGACATTTTGATTCATTTTTATAGATTATTATAAAGTTTGATTTATTAAAAAAAAGGTTTATAATTATAATAGAGCAAAAGACTAATTTAGATTTTACTGCATCGTGATTCTGATCATATTCATGATGCAATATCTAAATTAATTGACAGTTGGAACTATAATTATATCATAATGACTTGAAGCAATAGCTAAAAATAGGATCAGAAGTTTGATTTTTTTCGTTTCTATGGCATTGACTTTAAATCCATCTCAAATAAAACCATCTCAGGCAAAATTACTTCTGTGATTAAGCGCCAGTGAAGTTCATTTAACTTAGCCAATTAAAGTAAACTGTACTTGAATAGCAAATATTTGTTAACCTTTTGTTATGAAGTTTAAAAAAAAGTGAAACTTATAAAACAAACATGAACTTATGAAAACGAATGAGTTTTGTTTAAATAAAGTTCCATGTAAAATTGTTTAAATTAACAGTTACTATTCCTCTAACTAATCGGACAAATAAACTCACAAGATTTGTTTTAAAATAAAAATATAAGTTTAATATATTTATAATCGATAAATAGTGTAGTGCAGTGGATCTTTTAGCATTGTGCAAAAGCGGAGGTGCAGGTTTAAATAGTAGCGAAAGATGTTTGATTTTTTTATAACATTTTTTAATTTATTATAATGCATATTTTTTATTTATATTATCTATTATTGTTTAATATTAATTATTTTATCATTAATAATAATATTTTCATTGTTATAGCATCTGTTTAATGACTACAGCTATATCATTAATTTATATAGCATAGATTTAACTTGAATTACGATTTTTTGCCTAATTAAAAGATTTCCTTGATTTTGTTTACAGACTATATTTAGTCTACAACTACTTATGTGCAAAACTAAACAAATGTACCAGCTTATGCTTGTTGATCCTGTTTACAATAAGGCTTATTACTATTCAAAATCATAGTGTTCTAAAAAAATTGGTATCGCTTGACATAATTTGGGTTTGGTGTATCGCTTGACATAATTTGGGTTTGGTGCACCAATGGTCTAGAAATTCATTGTGAACACCATTATTCATCATGACACAATGGTGAAAAGTAAAATCTCACCTTATGTGAACAATATTTTTGTTTATTAGAATGATGAGTCTTTATAATGTCAAGAAACTCTGGAAAAATATGATCTAGAGAGTAAAGAAGGTGAAAAGATTAGAAACGAAAATTATATCCCAATTGTTGAAGCAGGTTAATAAATAAAACTGATCTCAAAAGATGTACAAGAAGTTAAATCACAGGAGATTAAGGAGATCACTTTAAATAATCAATATAATTAAATATTTAAATTAACTTTAAATATTGTTTAGTATTTTTATTATTTCCATACAATATAGCTAAGTTCATTTTAACTGGTTGGTATTTATTGATTTATATCACATTTTAGAGAGTGTTCATTTTCATTCTTCATTTTGCTACTTAAAGTTGTCTTTAAAATGAAATGGTATTGGCACTGAACATTTTAGAATTAAAATATTTATAACAAAATAAAAGTTCAAATTTTTTGATGCGTGTCAAAAAAATTCAAATATTTGAAAATTTTTCTTTAAAAATAATTTTTTCTTTCGTTACCCTACAATCTTAAAATTAATTTACAATATTTTTTAATGATTGCGTTTAGTCTTTGTTTGGTTAAATCAGATATTTTTCCAAGGAAGTTTAAACCATTTTTGAATTTCTCATGGGTGTTTAAATGAATTAACACCTTTTGTGCTCTTTCATCTGAACACAACATGTGTTTCAGCTTAAAAAAATTTCAGTATTTTTTATAGCTTCTAATGTCAAGTTTGTTTTTTATTTTTTATATATATATTTTTGTTTATTAGGGATTTTAGTTGAGGGTTTATCTGAGACAGTTATAAATAACACAGAAGAAGCTATTCATTTGTTAGATACAGGGAAAGTAAAGCTAATTTTGGATGAAAGATCACCTCATAATTCACGGTAAACTGATTTCATAATCTTTTATTACTTTGAAATGTTAAAACAATTTTGAATATAATTTTATTTATTGTTGTTAATCATAATACAATATGTTTATCAACACATATTGTAATCTTTAAATAATCATAATTGTAGTAATCATTTAAATAAAAATAGTAAATATTATTAGTTTAATTGTTATATATAATAAATAAATTCTTGAAACAGATTGTAAATATAAGGAAATAAATATTTAACCATCATATTTAATTGTATATTTTTTATTTAATTTTATATTTTATTATTTATTATTGTTTATAGTTTTGTTGTTTTCATGTCATCATTTCATTATTAATCTATTCATATTTTGCTTGTAGTGAATTTTAAACTTTATATTTAAATATTACCTTTTAATTTTTTTTAATTTCACAATTTAAAAAAATTTTAAATTAAAAAGTTATTGGCATTTTATTTGAATTATGTCTAAATAAAAGAAAATTAATCCATCTATTATAAATAATTTTGATAACTCTAATATATGTTTTAAAATTCTATTAATTACATTTTACTTAAGTTTTTTAGTTGAGGTCTTATTGGGGTATGGTGATATGACTAAGTTTGTCTTCTTCTTGCCCCGGTCATGTAATTATTTTTTATAAGTTGCGCCTGTAAATTATTATTATTGGCGAAAGTAAATAAATAAATAAAAGTTAAAAAATATTAAAAAGTTAGTGAAAATGTTGAAAAGCTTTTTTTAACTATATTAACATTGGCAACTAATAAATTTAAAATGATATTAAAAAAATATTTAAAATATATTACGAAACAAAAGCTGCCTCTACCTCATGCTGTTTTCAAATATTTTGCTTTTTATAATGAAGAAACATTTAAAATTTAACATAAAGAAAAAATGAACAACTTAAAAAGGATAAACAAATGTTTATAAATTCATCTAATAATTGCAAAAATCTAATTATGTTTAAAACTTTAAATGTGTAATACATTATGTATTATCTTGTGTACTGCAAGCTACTTAACATGTACTACGTCAGAAAACATGAAAAATTATTATAATTTATCAGTTCATTCTATTTTTTTTTTAAATTTGATACATTCACAAATAATATTTTGAGAAAAGCTTAGCTTTAATGCAGAACACTCAGATTGATGATTGAAGTCTTTGGCAAAGTATCTCTAAATTGTATGATTACTAACATTCACACTAGGAGTTAGGTAAGAATTTGTGATTTTGAATTCTGTATATTCTTTGCAGCCATATGAGATATCATGTTGTTGGTTTTTGAAGTGGTAATTTTTGGTCTTTAACAGGATTTTCCTGGATTCATGCCATCTGTTGATTTAATGAACTGAATGATAATTTTGAGAGTTATTTTTAGCATCTTTAAACATGCAGAAATCATTTGTTCAGACTTGTTATATTCCACAAAAAGCATTACTTGTGCATGTTTAGCAAGTGATGCTGTAACAATATTCTGAGATAAGTGATGTTGTAGCCATAATCGAAGATAAGAAAGTTTGTGTATATGATTAGTGATGTTGTACTCATTCTTAGATAAGTGATGTTATAGCCATACTCTGAGATAACAATGTTTAAATGACACATTTAGAGCGCATAAGATTTTTTTTTATTTAGCATTCTATTGTATATAGAGCATATAATAACTCTTTTTTATTGATAGATAACTATGAAACCAAACATGGAATGGGTGATTGTTTAGTGTGTTGCCAGTACGCATCGTTTGCATTTATAAGCAATTATCTATGATAATTATGAATGGACAGATCTTTAGTACCATAACTGGATATGGATATGATAAATAGATTTTCTACCAAAATTATATATTCATATATTATTTAAATATCAATATAATTTCTTTTGTTATTTCATTTATTTTTATTATTTTTAATAAATATTTGTTGTCATACTTTTTTTAATGTGTATTTATTGTTTGTTTTTTTTTTAATTTATAGAAACAGTTTTTCTTTTTTATTTGAAAAAGTGTCTGTAATTAAATCAGCTTTTTAAAATTGAACTACAAAATTTATTCAGTGCACATTGATGTGCATATTATTAGCTCAGTGCACATTGATGTGCATATATACAGTATTTATTAGCTCAGTGCACATTGATGTGCATATATACAGTATTTATTAGCTCAGTGCACATTGATGTGCATATATACAGTATTTATTAGCTCAGTGCACATTGATGTGCATATATACAGTATTGGCAATAAAAACAATTCATCAGCTTCTTTTTTGGTATCGTTTGACTTTGATTGATAATAAGTCAATGATTGTTTGACTCTTTTCAAAAATAAAAATTGCTAATTGGTGAGCATCATATTTTCTTTTAAATAAGTATAAATATTCATAAAAATATTAGTGGATGCAATAATTATCTTGTTTTAGCTGACGCATCTCTCATAATATAAAATAATTGTAATGGCCAAAATTGACAATCTACTCTATTTTTTCAAACTTTCCTCAAAATTTCATTTGTCTGTGAATAAAACTAACTGATATCAGAAATGCAATACAATTGAAAATCTTCCACTCCTTGGAAGACCCAGCATTTCAAATGAAAGAAATGGATGTTCACTTATTCGCATAGTGAAAAAAAATATATATATATTATTAAGTCAAACCTTCCCAGGAAGTGCCTGCGGTCGCACGCCTTGTTCGTACATACTTCGAGTAATTTTTTTAGACAACTTGACAACATTATAATATAGTAAGCATTTTAAGAATTTGAGGCAAAACAAAACTATAAGAAACTAGAGAAAATAAAACAGCAATGCTTGAAGAAAGGAAACAAAGACTATATGAAATAGAAAATCTAATAAAATAAGCTTAAAAAAATTGAATATTAAATAATATTTTTTTTTTTTTTTCAAATGTTTTTACTAAACTTTACTGTTTTGATCAATGCATAGGAAGCAAGAAAACTAATTGTTATTTATTTGATAAAAAAAAAATTTTTTTAATAAGTTTCTTATGTAAAAAAAATAAAAAGTCATTAATACTTATATTTAAAGATAAAATATTTAGTTGTTTTCATTACTCCCATTAAATTAGTCTGTACAACAAGTTGTTCATTTAAACTCGTTAGTTTATTTCCTGATGAACTATTGTTATTGATGATGCTTCAAAAGCTTGTTGGCTAATGCATTGTTAATTTACTGAACATTTTAATTTTCAGGAGCCTATTTAAAACTTTTTTTTAAGTTTTAAATTCATTTTTTTCAAACAGAGCAATCGTTATGTTCATTATCTCTAGTAATTTGTATTAACATTGGAAATTGGTCAATTTCAGACATGCATCAAATGCAGTAAATACATATATAAAAGAAACCATGTTGTTTTTTTATTTAATTTATTCCATCATTATAAAATTTATTATTCAAATAATATATTTTGCAAATAAATAGCAATTTATTTTCTTATTTTCCTATTATATAAGTATTGAGAAAAAGTGTCAAGTTTAGCAAAAACATTTTTAACAGCGAAAAGACAACAAAATAAATAAACATAACAAAAGAAATAAACAAAATTTCTCATAGTGTACATAGCAAATTAGTTTCTTAATTATACAGACTGATAAAAATTTTGAATAAATTGCATAAATTTTTAACTGTTGTTAAATTTTTATAAAAGATAATTTTTTTTTTTCCATCAACTTATATCAAATTCGGTAGCTAAAAACAACGATCACTTCAAAAAAAAGAATATAAAAGTTGTATAAAAATTTTTATAAAATTATTATTTTTTAATTTTTTTTTTATTATTATTATTAAATTTTCTAGTTTGTACAATTAAAACTTTATATTTCGTTACAATTTTGTTTCCTTTTTTTAGGTGTTTTTTTTCCTTTTAGTTTAGCTTTTTGCCACCATTTAAACACTTGATAAGACATTTTCAATTTCTAACTTTGTGATGTCTGTAATATTTTATCAGGTTAGGAGAGCTACCACCCTTAATAGGGTGACTTTCTGGTCGTGAAATAAGCTAACAGTGGATGACTTTCTGGTCGTGAAATATTTTATATATTAGTCAGCTTATATACATACATACATACATACATACATACATACATACATACATACATACATACATACATACATACATACATACATACATACATACATACATACATACATACATACATACATACATACATACATATATATATATATATATATATATATATATATATATATATATAATTTTTTTGTTTAGGTCTCATGTAATTTGCATGATAACTATCAAGAAGCAATTAAAAAGGAAATCAGTAAAAAAAAAGAAAATATCTAATTTTGGAAAGAGCGAAAAAGTAGTATTGATATAGTAATATTGCATTTGCATACTTATATTATTTTAACAATTTATGATTATTTTGGTTCTATTTTTTTAGGAAATTGAAGATACAGTTATAAAAACAAAGTTGTACATGTAAGTAATTTTAATAACATTTTGTGCTACTGTGCATCATTTTTATTATTATTCATTTTTATATTACTTGTAAAACTTAATAAATAATGCCATTCAAAATTTATTGACCAAAATTGACTTCCTGATTTTCTTCATTACTATTTTATCATTACTTTCTAAATTCTTTTATTATTTATACTTAATAGGCAATAATTTTTTTCCTCCACATTAACCTCCAAGGTTGTGCAATTTTGGTCCACATTATCTATAATCTTCAATATTAAATTTACTCACACTTTTACATTTAAAGTGGCTTTATATGCTTAAGGTACAACCATATATTCAGTATTTAAATAATGAAGTATTAATAGGATTAAGTATTTATATGATGAGGATACAACCATTTGTTCTGCATTTATATGCTGAAGAGACAACCATTTGTTCAGTATTTATAGGCTGAAGTTCCACCTTCTGTTCAGTATTTGTATGCTGAAGATACAACAAAATGTTCATTATTTAATTTTTTTTTTCAAGCATCTTTAATATTTTTTTTTAGTACAAGGATTTTGGTTTTCTTTTTATGTTCTAGGTGTGATCTAGCTGGTGCAGAAAGAATGAGAAAAAAAGATCTTGAAACTTGCTCAAATAGAAGAATGTCTGAAGTCAAATTTATTAACACATCATTGTTAGAACTTGGGTAATTTTTTATATATTTTAAGAACAATTTTTACAATAGTGATAATAAATAAAATGATGGAAATTAAATCTATGCTATATAAGACAGAAGACTTATACTTATGTTTCATAGACTCTACGAAACAGAAGTAGTAATGACAATAAAAATGGAGTGTGGTAGTGACAAAAAATTATACAATATGTAGTTACAATAAATTTATATAGTAACAACGAAGTACAATAATATGGACTGTTAAGTCTCATAATGAATTGACTACGATTTGTCTAGTTTTACTTTAAAAGAATTGGTTGAGCAAGAATTGCTTACACTTTCTGAAAAAAATTCCAATAATTTTATTAAATATATATACTATTATTTTTTATTTTGGGGTTTGGTAATAAGACAAGGAGTTTGGTGATAAGACTTGGGGTTTGGTGATAATACTAAGTTTGTCTGCTTTTATCCCCAGTTATGCAAATATTTGTTTATACAAATTATTATAGTAAATTATTTTTTTAATGTATTCTTAGATAGTAAATTATGTATTGGTAATTACATTCACTAAATAAATAATTATTTATTCTACTATTGCATCTGTTTTTTGATGTTTTAAACTGTGAAAATTTGATGTGAGCATATTAACTGTTTTTTTTTTTTTATTAAAATTCTTTTCAAGTTTAACTTTATCAAAAAATTGAATTATAGTTTCTTTTTTTTTTGTCTTGTTTTAAGTCAAGATATTTTAAGGTAAGCCAAAGGTTTTAAGATAACCTAAAGATTTTAAGATAAGCCAAAGATATGCCAATCTTCATATCGTAAACTACAGATTAAGATTGTTACATAATGTTTATATATATATTTAATAATTTTGTTCGTAAAGTATATATTAATTTGTTATCCAACTAAACTAAAGGCATGACTTTTGTTTTGTCTGCTTTCAAACATATAAGTATTTTTTATAAACTCTGGAAAATAATTTATATAAACATTATAAAGCTGTGGAACTAAAACTTAAGAACTTTACTGTATTTCTTAACCCACGTTTAAGTATTTTCTTTTATAACTAAAAAAGATTTAACTAAAAAAGTACAAAATAGCTTAAACATAAACTGCACATTATGAAATTTCTCTGTGGTGAGAAATTGTGTCAAAGCTATAGCAAATTCAAGTAAAACAACATCAACAGAACATTCCTAATCAACATTGCTTGAAATATAATCCAGAGTTTCAAGTAATTTTTGTTTTACATAATATATTTGTAATGAATCCAAGACACTGATTAGTTATAAGATTGCTTTTATTATTTTAAACATTGTTTTATTGTATTTTAAAAGTAATGCAAGGTAGGGATAAATCCCTACCTTGAAAGTTTCAAATAGTCATATTATCTGAAACAGTTTTTCTACATTTTTTTATTATGCAGTTAAAAGTCTATTTTTGTGTTAGTATTAAATTAATGATAATATCTTCAATATATTAAAAAATAGAGTTGTTATTTTCATTGATGAAAGCATTACAAAAATTGCTATGAAGTAAATTTGCAATCAATTATCTCATCATTTAGACATTACAGAGCGTTTATATATATATATATATATATATATATATATATATATATATATATGTTTATATATATATATATATATATATATATATATATATATATATATATATATATATATATATATATATATATATATATATATATATATATATATATGTTTATATATATATATATATATATATATATATATATATATATATATATATATATATATATATATATATATATATATATGATAATATTCATATATTTGGTGTTTATATAAATATATATATATATATATATATATATAAACATATATATATATATATATATATATATATATATATATATATATATATATATATATATATATATATATATATACAGGGTGGGGCATAAATAGCGTTGATGCTTTTGTACATGAAATCTTGCGACATGTGTTTGCATTTTTTTTTTCCTGTTTTTGTTCTATTATTATAAATAATATTTTGAGTTATTATAATTAATAGTTTGAGTTACGTGTTATTTTTACAAATGAGCGAGAAAGCAACAAGGGATTTGATTATCAAGAAATTTTAAGACAGAGAATCGATTTCCGCTATCGCTAGGGATCTTCGAAAAACAAAACAGTGGATCTCAAGAGTGGTACAACGATGGAAACAGCTTGGAACAACACTGAAAAAAGCATCGCCAGGAAGACCACATTCTGTTTGCACAAAACAACTGATAAAAGTGATCCGAGAACAAGTTCACCAAAATCCGCGAGTGAAAGGCCGAAAACTTGCCAGAGAGCTTCAAAGATTGCATAGGACTGTTGGCTAAAAGAGGATCTTGGATTAAAGGCTTACAAGCATCAAGTCTGCCAAGAACTCACAGATGTGAATAAGAAGAATTGACTCGTCAAATGCAAGGCTCTCCTCTCGCGCATCAAGGCGGCATGGGGTAAGCCAATTATCTTCTCAGATGAGAAAATTTTCTCGATTTCTCAAGAAGTGAACAAGCAAAAGGATAGAGTTTATGCTGTTTTAATCAAAGATGCTTCTGTCAAAGGTCCCTTTGTGGGAAAACGACAGTCTGATGAATTCGTGATGGTCTGGCTGGATATTTGTGAAGATGGAGTGACAGAGCCAATTTTCGTGCCACAAGGAGTGAAAATTAATGCTAAATCTTATCTGGACCTGATTTTGGAGAAAGGAGTTAAACTGTTTGCACAACGACTCTTCCAAAATAAGGTTTGGTGCTACCAGCAGGACGGCGCGCCCTCTTACAGAGCAAAGATTGTTTAAGCGTGGTGTCAAGTGATCGTTTAAGCATGGTGTCATTTTTGCCCGATTTGAACCCGCTCGATTTTGCTGTTTGGGGAGTGTTGGAGGCCGAGGTCAACTCTACTCGACATGCTAGTTTAGCTTCTCTCAAGTCCTCAATTTCTCGAGCAGTGAGTAATCTTTCATCCGCCTTTCTGCGTGCCATCTGCGATGCTTTCAAGAAGAGACTTAAGCTCTGTGTTAAGGCTAAAGGCGACTAATTTAAATAATTTATTTGTTTTTTTGTTCTTCTGGCTATTGTTAAATAAAATTAAATAAAATTATTGTTTTACATTTTTTGCATTTTGCATTTGGATATGGCTTAAAGAATGTGTCAACACTATTTATGTCCTACCCTGTATATATATATATATATATATATATATATATATATATTATATATATATATATATATATATATATATATATATAAATATATGTATGTATAATGATAATAGTCTTTTACAGTTTGCTCATAGCAAATTGTATAATCTATAAATTCTCTGTAATGTCTAAATGGTGCAATTTATTAACTGTAGGTCATTTATAGGTTACATACATATAATCAAAGTTTTTATTTTACTTTATTAACAATCATTGGTTTATTGTATTTCCATTGTAAATTGTTTTTCTTATAAGTAAAACAAAGTCTTTTATTACCCATGATGAACAACACTTATAAATAAGTTTATTATGCTTTTAAAATCAGTTTTTCATTAAAAAATTTATTTATTTAACTATTATATTTTGAAGAAAAAAATCCAAACATATAAAGTTAAAAAAGCATATAAAGAACATATTAAGTTAAAAAAAAAACATAAAAAACATATAATCAAAACATATACAATTTAAAAAATTTGTTAAATATTATTATAAATATTAAAACATATGGAATTCTTCATATATTTATCAATACAAAATTACTATCAACAACACTCTTACTTGCTGGTTCACATTTGTCTATTATGTTGATGAAAATTAAATCTAAAATTAAAATTAAAAAACATATATTTTTGGAGATTTATTTGTTGTTTGATGGTGAGTTTATATTTATTTGAAATGTCAACTTCAATTAAGCTTATTAAACCATTAAACCAACTTTTATTAGAAAAAGAAGAGAAACTAGAAAAGTTGAAATTACTAATTATAATTAGATTTTTGAAATCTTTCTTTTTTTGCATATTTTCTTATAATTTTAAATCCTTTAGTTCTGACATGGGATTTAGATTTATGGGATTTAGAATGCAATCCATTCAATTCAAACTTGAAAAACTTGAAAACAAATTAAGTTTTATCAATAGTGTGAATGATTGTCATTTTATACATATTATAAAAATACCAAAGTTCCATCTACAATCTACGTCTACAATCGGTCTAATATTTACTGAAAGGCAAGAACGAATATCAGAGAAACCACAATACTACAGAAACTAAAAAAATTAAATATTCATAAATCAATTGGAATTGATACCATAAGTCTATACCTTCTTAAAAACTGTGCAATGTCATTTTGTATTCCACTAAAAATAACATTAAAAGTTTTAAATCAAGTTCATTACCAATGGATAAAACGTTACACCACTACATAAAAACAATAGTCAACTTATTGTTAGTAATTACAGGCCAATTTCGCTCACATCGGTCATAAGTAAATTAATGGAAAGTATAATCTGTTACTCCATGATGAAACATCTATTAACAAGTAATCTTATCACATTATGCGACAGCATGATTTCGTGCCAAAAAAGAATTTTGTCTATAATTTTCTTAGTGTCAAGACTTTGTTAGTACAGCTTTGCAAAACAAACATCCAGTCAACATTTTATTTACTGATTTCGCAAAAGTATTCAACACTGTATCGCATGAACTTGTCCAAAAAATTTAATCTTATGGCTTCAATAATAAATTTGTATAACATAGTAACAGGTAACAATGAGTAGTACTTGGTGAATCTTACTGGAGTCTAATTAAAGTGATATAATACAAGGATCAGTACTTGAACCACTTTTATTTACAATCCTATTATATTTTAATACTGAATTTAATGCTGCTACATTACTTTTTGCGTCAGAAAATGTGAACCTAAGTGTTTACAAACATCAAACTTATGTAAACTTCAAATTATGTAATGTAATGTAATATAAATAATGTAATGTAATATAATTCAAATTATGTTAAAACAAGTTTTACAGTTTTACTTTTACTTTAAATTGCAGCAACATTAATTTTCCTTAATTTTGATATATAGCATTTATTTGCTGTTTTAAAAAGCCTCTTGTTTATGAAATAGTTTTAAAACTTTTATCAAGCAATAGGCCTTAGTGGTCGAAGTGGTTATGTCGCAGCATTCTCAAATGAAATGCCGTGGTTCAAATCTTTGCATTTCCACTTTTTTTTTTATTAATTATTTTTAATTTGTTAAAATAAAAAATAATACATTTTTGAAGATCAGTAGATACTTTTACTTTTATAAAGTTTTACCTTTGTTTAAAAATTGCATTGCTGCAAAATCTCCTTAATTTTGATTTAAAGCATTTATTTATTGTATTATAAAGTTATTTCATCTTTTGTTTTTGAAATAGAGGCAATGTAGTGAGTCTTAATTAGATCTCTCAGTTGTTAGCTTGCCGCGCTTCCAAAGTACAGCGTGAGTGTTCAAGTCCTGTTGCTTGCTTATTAATTTTTTTAAATCTTTTCCAATTTTTTAAAATACAAATTAAAACATTTTTAAAGTCTCATTATATATATACTCACCAAGTATATAAGTCTTTTTAATATATAAAGATATACTATACCAAACAAAAAGGAGTTTTTAGAAAGTTTAAAATTGCAGTAAACATCAAAACAGCAGTAAAAATTTTTTGTGCATATGTTATTAATGTTAAAATAATATAAGTGCATATGTTATTAATGTTATTATAATATAAAGTTATTAATGTGCCTAGATAATTAGTTAAGTTTTCACGTTCAACACACATTAAAAATACAGCCTTTTTTTTTTTATAAGAAAATAATTTTAACATTCAAACTTTTATTTTCTTCAAAATTAAATGACGAGGTGAGGTTCCTAATAAACTGCAGGTGGTCTGGAAAATAATTTAATAAAAACTTTATACAAACTTAAAAAGGAAATAAATTTATGTCTGTGTCTTTTTTTTTATAAAAGTTTACAATTTTACAATAAGAAGTTTATAAGTATTAAACATTAATTGTTAAATTAAAACAAAGATTTGAAATTTTTTTTTTGTTTGTTTTTTTTAAACATCTTCGCTTCCAACAAGGCTGCAAGCAACTACTAATTAGTGTTGGAAGTTACTGGAAGTGAAAAGATGAAGATTGTAGAGCAAGATAACGATTGATAGATAGCTTAAAAGATTGCAAATTATATGAATCAGGAAAGCAAGATGAAGGAAGGGAATTCCAAAGAACTGATGTTCAAGGAAAAAAACTAGTGAATTAAGAGTTTTTGGACCACTTAGTAACAGTCACAGAAAAAGGATGATACTTAATTGAATGTCGAGTAACACGAGAATGAATTTTAGTAGATGGCACAAGAGACACTAGCTCTTTAGAGCAGTCCATTGTAGTATTTGTAGAAAAGAGAAAGAGAAGCAACATTACAACGATGTGATAATTGTTGATGGTTGGCTGCAAAAACAGGTCCAACTATGTTTACAATGTGTTTTTGTACCTTGTCTGAAAGAGAAGGGGCATCATTAGAAGATCCGCCCCAGATATGACAACAGTATTCCATACAAGGCCAGGTTTGAGATTTATAGAGATAGAGAATAGAATCCGGAGTAAGAAAGTGTCGAGCTCGATAAAGAGATGCAATTTTAGCAGATGCTAATTTTACAACGGATTTGATATATGGTTTCCAAGACAGATCGAAAGTAAGAGTTAATCCTAGAAGATGAAGGGTAGATGATTTATCGAGTACATTACCATTCATAAATATAGGAAGGCTAAATTATTGCAATAATAATTGTCTGAGTTTTATCTAAAACAAAGTTCAGCAGCCACTGTGAGCCCCATGCTGTAGTAGAAGTGAGATCCTTTTCAAGCTCAAATGCCCCCTCCAAGCAATCAGAGAGTGTTGGATTCTTATCATGACAAGAATAAATGGTAGTATCATCAGCAAAAAATGTCACCTTAGATGTGAGAAAATCTGGCAGATCGTTAATGTAAATTAAAAAGAGTATAGAGCCAAGGATTGAACCTTGAGGAACCCCTGAGCTTATAGAATAAGAAGAAGAGCGCTGTCCATCAACGACAACTTTTATTCTACGATTGGAAAGGAAAGATTCAATAAACTTAAAGATGTTTCCAGATAAACCGTAAGAAGAAAGCTTATGGAAAAGACCAGCATGCCAAACTTTATCGAAGGCTTTACAAATGTCAAGAGCGATGACCTTAACCTCTCCACCTTTATCTAATGCACAATAAAACCTATTGTTTCTTACTGATAGCAAATCAGCTGTAGAACAAGAAGATTGAAATCCATATTGATGATCAGAAAGTAAGTTATTAGATTCAAGATGAGAGATTAAGTGTTGTTAATTAAAGGTTTTAAAACATTGCTTATGATAGGAAGAAGACTAATGGGACGGTAGTTAGGCAAATCAGATCGCTCTTTAGAATTTTTAAAGATAGGGATAACAGATACTGCTTTTCCAGCTGGACACCAAGACTCTGATAAGCGCTTGTTGAATAGTTTTAAAAGTATAGATGACAGCTCTGGAGAACACTTCTGCAAGACTATAACAGGTATGTTTTCCGGGCCACAAGCTGTAGAAAAGTCTAAGCAGGAAACCACTTTAGATACAAAAGCTGGAGTGATACAAATGTCAAGCAATAGATAAACCTGTTTGACAGCTATATCAGGTAGAACGCAACTAGTGAAATCAAGATATGATATTGATGAAATGTTTTTACCAAATAATTCAGCTTTGTCTTTAGGTGAGGTGACAAAGTCTGAACCATACAAAAGAGGTGGAATTACAGACTTGACTTTATTATTGATATTATTAAAGATTCTCCAGAAGTCACAAGAGCCTAATTTTTGTGATGAAACACAAGATTTCATGACCTGAGAATAGCGGGCATTGGCATTAGACAAAACCTTTTTACAATGGCTCCTAGCAGTAATAAACTGAAGTCTGTTTTCTGAAGAATTGTTTTGCTGATAGATATGGAAGAAATGGTTTCAATTGGCAATTGCAGCAGCACAATGTGAGGAAAACCATGGAGAAGAGTGAGGTTTGACCTAGCATTGTCGAGAGGGAATAAAGGATTCTATGCCAACCTGAATCCATAAAGTTATGTAAGAAGCACATTTTTCGATAGGAAGACGAAAGATTTCAACCCAAGGACCGTCACGAAAAAAATCACGGAAAGAGTCCCAGTCAGTTTTAAGGTAGTTGTAAGATGTACGATGATAGGGGGATTCTGATGATAAAGAAGAATGAGATAATAGTTTAAGAGAGATCAAACTGTGATCAGAGGCACCTAAGGGTAAATGTGGAGAAACTGATTACTGACTTTGATCAGAAACAAGGCATAAGTCGAGTAGAGAAGGTAAATGATTTGGGTTGTCTGGAAACGAGTTGGAAAGTTGACTATTTGATATTCTTTCTTTTTTCTAATTTTTTTATTAAAAGTAATGATTAAAATAGTAGTGTGATTGATTTGTCTTGGTTGCTCTCTACTATTAAAATGAGAATATGTATATATTGAAAATAAAATTTATGATATAATATATGATATAATCATGATAATAAAATATATGGTATAATCATGACAAAAAAGTATATGATATAATAGTGACAATAAAATTCATGATATAATAGTTACAATAAAATATATGATATAATCATGACAATAATATATATGATATAATAGTGACAATAAAATATATGGTATAATAGTTACAATAATATAAGAGTATAGATTTTTTTAAATTGTATTTTAAAAAATAGATTTTTTAAAGTTGTCTTTTTTTTTAATTTTAAATACCGTTCTGGTGAATACAGAAAAATATTACAAAAGTTCTGATTTTTTTTTTAATTTTCACAAAACAAAAAGTGTGTATAACTTCTTTTTTTTTATATAGAAATGTTATTCATGCATTAGCATCTCGAAGTAGCTATATCCCATTTCGAAACGCACCTCTAACAAGAATATTGCAAGAAAGTCTTGCTCGAAATAGCAAAGCTGCAATTATGGTAGGCTTTTAGTTATTTACAGAATTATTTATTCGTATTTATCCTATAGAAAAACCTTGAGCAAAACATAAGTACAAGATCTGCAATCACCAGCTAAGACTTATAATGGTAGCTATTGTTAACTGCAATAATAATCCCTATTTTTTTTTTTTTTAAACTGTCTTTATAACTACTTTTTTGAAGTGTCAAATCATCTAATTATTCCATTAATTGATAATTCTGTTGGTGAAAAAGTTGTCTCTGAATGCAGTTTTTGACAATTTCACAACAGCTTTGAAAGCACATTTTGTTGCATTTCAGAGTCTGATGACGTTAAGCATAAGTTGTTTGTTTAATAATATATGCTGTAACTATATATGATGTTGATTGTTAGGCAAAATCTTGAAAAACTGCATCAGTTTGCTGTTTTTTTGAGAGTATTGTTGTGACTGGTTTGTTTCCAGTGGCAACACAACTTTTATTTTGAATAAATGTTGTACTTTGATTATGATTCATTATGTCTTTGAAAATTTTATTTGAAAATTTGCTCCTAAAGTTTATATGGGATTAAAGTTAAGGAAATTGGCAAATGTTTTGTGGGTTGTTGTGATTGCCACATATATATTGGTACAATCATAATATCCACTTGTCAGGTATAACTTCATCATAAAGCTTAAAAATATCATAGGTTGTGGCTTGTAAAACTGTGTAGGACATGTCTTTAGTATCTAAGGTTAAACTCTGTAAACCTCTGGAGTTTATTGTCTAAGCTTAGTAGACCTTTACTAATATCCTTAATGCTTAGTAAGGGAATGCTAACATTTGTTGGTGTGAAGTCTCAAAATGTGGTGCCTAGACTTTATTTAATTCTTCTACTGAGTAAATGACATTTAAAAGTCTACATTTAAAATAATAATTAAAAATGTTGCTAATATTTGTTCCAGAATTAGATACTATGCCATCTGCATTTACTTCTTCCCACTGCTTTATAATGTTAGTAATAGAAACTATTTTTGAACTCTGCTGTACTAATATCCAGAGTTACTTTTTTTTTTTCAATATTTAGAGATCTGTTTATTCAAGGTTGTTGTGTTTTAAGATTCCTACAGTATTGTTTTGGTATATAAATGTTTATCAGCCTTTTGTACTCATTCAAGAAAATATTGTAGAAATAGATTAGTTTTTAATTAATTTTAATTAATCTATTTCCCAGTTAATTTTTTGTAGTTCTAAACTAAGTTTTGAGATCTTTTTTAAAGTTATGATATTTTTAAAGTCTCTTTATAAGCATTAACTACATTTTCTACCAAATTGATACATGAAGTTGTTCCGTGTTATAACTCCCCAACCATGACTTCAGATCTATTTTTGTAGAATAATTTGTAGTTTATTTGATAAATGAATTTTTGATGAACCAGGTATCAACAATAGTTATGATGTTTGGGTTTAATATTCTTGCAGTAGTGTTTAATGATGCCATATTGTGGTTAAGTGAGGTTGCATGAGTGAAATAACATGTTGATTTAATTTAAAGGGTCTTGTACACATCAATGCACAAGAGTTTGTTTATTTCTTAAAGTTGAATCATTGTCTGATTGGAATTTTGGTTTTATTGTTTGAGTATTTATAATTTTGGTGTTGATGTTTAAAAATGATGATGGTTTTCTAACATTAGCAATGGATTTTACGGCTGTCTGATAAGTTTTAATTCATATTAATGTTTAAATTGATTAAATTAATGCATTATATTTGTTATACTAAATATTATATTAAGTATCTATTAAGGAGTCATTAATAAAGTAAATAATCTCTAACTCCCTAAAACCTATGCTTTTAATCTACCTACTCAACATTTTTTGACGTTTTTTTAAATTTAATGTCTCCTTACTTTTATAATTGACCTATGCCTCCCCATCTCATATACACCATTTTTATCTTATAACTATATTACATTTTTAATCTATTTTCAGTCTTTTTTATGGAGGCATCTTTTAAACACAGTTAAAATTAAAAGAAAGTAAATTTTTTTATGATAATTATCTTTTTACAATTATTTGTGTAATTAAAGAAATTTTGATGTTTAGTTAAAAATTGTTTTTTATATTTTGTTGATTTAAAGATTTGTGTCTCACCATCTATACTCAACACTAAAGAAACAAAATTTTCTTTGAATTTCGGAAGGCGAGCAATGAATGTAGTCAATGTTTCTTCATCAACATATATTGTAAGAGCTTTAGAATAGACAATATATATATTTTGGTGTTTCAATTTTACTTTCTGCATTTTTATATATATATTATAAAATTGCATTTATTTTGAAGTAACACACTTTTGTTTTATTTTAGGAAGATTTTCATATGGTAAACAATATACAGAAAAGAAAGGTCTTAAATGATAAGTTATTAATTTTTGTAAACAGATGTTTTGTTTTAAATTTTAACAAATACATATACTGCAAAGCTTAGTGCAATTTGATTGGCTATAAGTTTCATAAGTTGACTAAGAGATTTTTTTTATCACAAGTGGACTACAACTATAAGTTAGCTGATAGGTTGACTGAGAGACTTTTTTTTTACCATATGTCAATTACAGCTATAAGTTAGCTAATAGGTTAAGTGAGAGAATTTTTTTTACTATATGTCAGCTTTAGCTATAAGTTAGCTAACAGGTTAAGTGAGAGAATTTTTTTTACTATATGTCAGCTTTAGCTATAAGTTAGCTAACAGGTTAAGTGAGAGAATTTTTTTTTTCTATATGTCAGCTTTAGCTATAAGTTAGCTAACAGGTTAAGTGAAAGAATTTTTTTATCATAAATGGACTACAATTATAAGTTAGCTGATAGGTTGATTGAGAGACTTTTTTTATAATGAATGGACTACAACTATAAGTTAGATAACAGGTTAATTGAGAGAATTTTTTTTACTATATGTCAACTACAGCTATAAGTTAATGAATAGTTTGACTGAGAGACTTTTTTTACCATATGTCAGCTTTAGTTTTAAGTTAGCTAATACATTGACTGAGAGGCTTTTTTTACTATAAGTAGACTACAATTTTTTAATTTTATCTAAAATTTAGACTAGAGGTTTTTCTTTTACAATTAGGCTTACTGCAAGTTTTGTTTTTTACAATTAGGTTGACTACAAAGCTTTAGCAGAACGTCTTCAAAAGGAATTGATTCAACTAGGTATAAATTAACCTTTGTTTGAATTTGTGTTTTGTTAATTGTATGCTATATAATTAATATATATTGGTGTGCTAAATATATAGTATAAAAATATATAGACAAATTAAATAACTTTATTAAAATGTAAATAATGAAACTAGTTAGCTCATAAAAATATTTTTTAAAAATTTATAATTTTCTTTAAACAGTTAATATATAAGTTTATATATATAAGTATATATCAGAGCTTTTCATAAAGGAAATTGCCCAACATGTTATTTTGCCCTTGTAAAACTTTAGTATGTTGTCATGAGGCATGATTATGCATACTCAAGATAATTACTGCAAGAGCAACTATAAGGTTTGAAAATTGGTGAAGACTAAGCTCATAAAAAATTTACTATTTATTATACAACATTCTTATGTTGACAACTGTTTTGAAGTAGTATCTACAACAATCCACTCAGGACACTAAATCAAGGAAGTAACTTTTTATACTTTCCTAATTCTTGTATATCATTTGATTCTGATCGCAATTTTTTTAACTATTTATGGTAAAATAAAAATGCAAGTTCTTATAAATTCTTATTGATTTAGTATTGAAGAGTAAATTGCTGACTTAAGTTCTTGCTTTTGTTGTTTTGATATATTTATTTAATAATATTTTTGCTGTTAATTAATATTATTTAGCTATTTTTTGTATTTCTTGATTTTTAAAATGTTTAATAATAAGATCATTTGTGTTTTTTTTTATTGTTAAAAAATTAGGATTATACAAACGAAGTTCAATTTATTTTTCCATTTAGCTTTGTTAATTTATTTTTTTATCTTATTAATTTATTTTTCAGATTATACACAAAATATTAAATTTAAAATAAATAATAATTAATAAAAAACCTATACAATATACAAAAACAAATTTGTTATTTTTAATTGAAAGAAGACAGAATTTTACTGTTAAATTAAACAAGTTTTATTTTTAGCAATATATATATGTGTATATATATATATATATATATATATATATATATATATATATATATATATATATATATATATATATATATATATATATATATATATATATATATATATATATATATATACAGTATTGGACAAAACATTTGAAACCAACTTCAAACAATGCTAAAAAGTGTTCCTAATTTTACATGTTTTAAAAACGAAATGAACTATACTACCACAGCAAACAGTTCAGGAGTCTGGAGTCATAGCATGCCATGACATGAGGAATCAGCTGACAGGTGACAGCACACAGGCAGAATATTGTTGACAAGTTTCATTTTGCAGTGGACAAATCAAGTGCAACTTTTTTGGTTTGTTTTATTTTCTTAAGTCTGGTCCGTGTCAACGTCACGGAAGTTTTTAATAATTAACAAAAATGGCACCTGACAGTTGGATTGGATTGGAACTAAGAAAGAAAACTATTGGTGATTACGTAAGTGAAATCTCACAAAAAAGTATTTGTGATAAATATTGTATGAAAAAATGGACCGTATCAAGACTATGTTCCAAATAACGTTCTACGGGGAAGTTGGTAGCAGATAACAAAGGTGGAAGACTGCGTTCCACCACTTCTTGAGAGGATTCTATGATCATCAGATCCTGATGATCATAGAATCCTCTCAAGAAGCCTGATGGAGGCAGTGTAATGGTCTGGGGGTGTTTTTCTGCTAACGATCTAGGTCCAATACATTGAATTGATGGAATAATAGACCGTTTCATGTATAAAAGTATCTTGAAAAATTTATGTTACCTCATGCTGAATGGAATATGTTACCTCATGCTGAATGGAATATGGGTTTTTCAGCAAGACAACGATCCGAAACACACTGTAAAAGTAGTCAAGCAGTGGTTTCAAGACAACCACCTACTGGTGATAGATTGGCCGCCTCAATCTCCGGATCTCAACCCTATCGAAAACCTGTGGAAGATCATCAACCGCAGAATTAGTCGTGAAGGTGTTCGTAATAAGGATCAACTGTTTGAACAAATCCAAAAGCAGCGATTCCACAAAGTTTTATTGATCACCTGATCAAATCTATGCCTCGAAGATGCAAGGCTGTGATGGACAACAAAAGATTCGCCACAAAATTTTGATAGCGAAATACAGCTTGGTCAACATTTTGTGGAGTTGTATTTGTTTTATCCAGAAGGAAATCAACTTTTTTTAATACTTTTGATTAATTTATTAATTTTCGTGTATAAATAATGAACTTTGTGATGAATTAATTTTTGAAAAACATTGTCTCTAAACAGTTACATAGTTATTTCTCTAAATTGAAAAAATGCAGCACTTTTATATAAAGAAACTAAATTAGCAATATTTGGTTGCACTTGTTTTATCCGATATTGTATATATTTTAAACATCTTCAGTTCCAACAAGGCTGCAAGAATCCGCTTATTAGACTTGGAAGTTACTGGAAGAGAAAAGATGAAGATTGTAGAGCAATATAACCATTGACAGACAACTTAAAAGATTGCAAATTATATGAATCAGCAAAGCAAGATGAAGAAAGCGGATTCCAAAGAACTGATGTTCGAGGAAAAAAGCTAGAGGAATAAGAGTTTTTGGAGCACTTAGGAACAATCACAGAAAAAGAATGAGACTTAATTGATTGAAGAGTAATACAAAAATGAATTTTAGTTGATAGCACAAGAGATACTAGCTCTCTAGAGCAGTGCCCATTATAGTATTGGTAGAAAAAAGAAAGAGAAGTAAAATTACGACGATGTGATAATGGTTGAAGGTTGGCTGCAAGAGCAGGTCCAAATATGTTTACAATGCGTTTTTGCACTTTGTCTAAAAGAGAAGAGGGTACCATTAGAACATCCCCCCCCCCCCCAGATATGGTAACAGTATTCCATACAAGGCCGGGTTTGAGATTTATAAAGACAGAGAACAGAGTCCGGAGTAAGAAAGTGTTGAGCTCGATAAAGAGATGCAACTTTAGCAGATGCTAGTTTTGCAATGGATTTGATGTATGGTTTCCAAGAAAGATGAAGATAAAAGGTTGATGACTCATCAAGTACATTACCATTCATATATATGGTCTAAATCATTATTGCAATAATTTAGATGGTAGGTCTAAATCATTGCAATATTGATTGGCTGAAAGAAACGTTTAAAAAAAAGTTTTATTTGAATTAAAGTTCACCAGCCACTGTGAGCTCCCATGTTGGAGCAGAAGTGAAATCCTTTTCTCATCACAATTGCCCCCTCCAAGCAATCAGAGAGTGTTGGCTTCTTATCATGACAAGAATAAATGGTAGTATCATCAGCAAACAATGCCACCTTAGATGTGAGAATATCTGGAAGATCGTTAATGTAAATTAAAAAAAGTATAGGGCCAAGATTTGAACCTTGAGGAACCCCTGAGGTTACAGAATAAGAAGAGTGATGCCCATCAACGACAACTTTTATACTACGATTGGAAAGGAAGGATTCAATAATCTTAAAGATGTTTCCAGATACACTATAAGGAGAAAGCCTATGGAGAAGACCAGCATGCCAAACTTTATCAAAAGCTTTAGAAATATCAAGAACCACAACCTCTCCACCTTTATCTAATGCACGATGAAACTTATTGGTTATTACTGTTAACAATTCAGCGGTAGAACGAGAAGATTGAAATCCATATTGATGATCAGAAAGTAAGTTATTAGATTCAAAATGAAAGATAAAGTGATTGTTAATTAAAGATGCAAAAACCTTGCTTATGATAGGAAGAAGACTAATGGGATGGCAGCTAGGCAAATCAGATCGCTCTCCAGATTTTTTTGAGATAGGGATAACAAATGCTGCTTTCCAGCAGGCTGGAAAACAAGACTCTGATTAGCACTTGTTGAATAGTTTTAAAAGGATAGACAACAGCTCCGGTGAACATTTCTGCAGGTATGTTGTCCGGGCCTTTCATCATTTTAGATACAGAAGCTGGAATGATGCAAATATTTAATCTTCTCAGGAAAAGCATGCGGTCACATGTTTTAATTGACCACACATATGATTTATTTTAAAAACTTGGCCACAGCTCTTTGCATGTTTTGATAATTTGTGTTGAAAGTCTATAAAGTCTATTAACTTAATAAATTTTAAACCCAAATAAAAACTGACATTTTTCAGAGACTTTAATATATTAGGCACTTTTAAATCAAAAAACTTTTGTTAAAGTTAATTTTTCTTTAGTTTAGCTTGATTTTTTTAGTGCATTTTTAAAACACAAACTATCAAAAAATTATATTCAAAATCATATAAGGCATTCAACGATACATCTGTTCTCAGAAAGCTTGATATATGCAGGTCTGGCAGAACACAGATTCTTCCTGGGCCTTCCCAGGAAATGTGTGCAGTTTTTTGTTTTGTATGATTACACCCGAGTACTTTTTTTTAGACAATTTGGTCCCAACTGTTTGCAAGTTTTATAATATTAATCATTGAGGAAAAAACTATGTTTCAAAAACAAAAAAAGCAAAACAAACAAAATAGGAAATAAAAAGAAATTTAAATAAAAAAGATAAAAATAAATAAATAATTTAAATAATTTGTGTATTGTTTTTATTTTGTTTCTTTAGAGTAGTTGTTACTTTCAGCAACAAAGCGAAGCAAAAAAAAAACAGTTTTAAGTCTACATTAAAAAGAATGACTTTTCTTTATTTAATTTTTTTTTAAAAGAGGAAAGCGAAAATATAAATTGCAATGTGTTAGTAAAATATATTTGTATAATTTAAATGTAACAATGTATACTCTAGTATGGGATTATTAGTAAAAGCATCTGTCAGGCTTCCAAGGGAACTTTTAAATATAGCCTATAAAGGACTTATGCGGAGTCAATTAGAATATGCCAGTATATTATACCTAGGTCAATCCAAAGTGCAACTAAAGAGACTTGGCATAATACAAAAGCAGTGTGCCCGTATCATCTGTCATAAACCAAGAAACACTCATTCGGCTCCCCTTTTGGACGAACTAAAGCTGTGCACCTTGGGGGAAAGAAGAAATGTTTATGCAACAAGAGTAGTCAAGTCGGCGTTGTCGGGAGTATGTCATCCATCAATGGCTAAAATGTTTAAATTCAACGGTGATTTGAACCTTATCATTAAAAAAGCAGCAAACCGACAAGGTAGTAAAGGCTTCGATATTATAGGGGCCAACATATTTAACGGAGTTGTCTCTTAATATATCTATCGCGTTATGCCATTGGCATATACTAGACAATACGAGACAAAAAACAGCATGCATTTCCTGGGAAGACTTGATCAGATATTTTCATTCAGATTTAAAGGCTTTGAAGGCACCAAAGTTTGATCGATATATACTAATTTTTTTTTAAGAATAAAAAGATAAAAATGTTTATGAGAATAAAATTGTATAAATTAGTAAATAAAACAGTATGAATAAATAAAATAAAAAATATCTCAAAAAATGTTGTTTTTTTTATTTAACTTTTTATTTTAATTTGCACTTATGTTCCTGACAAGAGCGTCTGCCGATAGATAAATATGCTTCTCTTCAAAAAGTAAGTGTCCTTAGTTGACCACAGGTTTCATATATTGGACCTGTTTCTTATCTATATTAACTATATATCTTATATACTCAACTACCATTGCAAACTTTAAACTAATAACCGGTATTATCTTTTTTCGGATATTTTTCTTAACTTTTAGTTTATTCAAGGATATTCAAAACATTTTCCATACATACAAGTTAAGGTATATATTTTAGTAAAATAATTATTTTTTAAGCTTTTCCACTCATCACTTATACAAAAATTATTAAAAGTTTGGAAAAAAATTTTGAAACAACTCAGCTAAAAGCAAATTTATGAGGAAAGTATATTCCAGATTTTTTACCCAAACAATTTTTTTGATTTTTAAAATATGACCTGGATGATCTATATAATAACTTAATACAATTATCAAAAAACCCTTTGACATCCAGCAGTTATAAATCAATATTAAAATAGTAATTGACTGGGCAAACATATATTAAGTGTGTTTTAATCTAAAATACAATTACATTTTTTTCAACAAGCGTTGTTGCACAACCATTACACACAGCGCAACTAACTTCAATCAATGAACTCAATTATTCTGCATCTGCTTAACAATGAATGAAGTAACAATCATATTCTTAAAAAGTTGAGTTTGAGCCTAAACTAGGTGTTGTTGTTTGCAATTGTTTTCTGTGCAATGAACTAGTAGCAAAAATAAGTTTTAAACTCATATGCTGTTCTTGGTATTCTAAAATGCATATTGAAACATTGGATGTTTGAAATGTTTTACATCCTTTATTGTTCTTTCACTTATTTGTAGCAACACTTCTTTTCGAAGTGTTGCTATAAGTAAGTGTTGGGGATCCTTTCCATCAGAAAATATAAATACTTCTAAAATTGCACTAAGCCACAAAATTTGTTCCATTTTTTTAAATTATGAAAAACAAGGGTTGCTGTTAGCTATCAGTATCCAATCACTCGCAAGTTGATGGTGTCAAAGTGATCTTATCCAGTATTACAGAATTTACCATGGCATGTAAAGTCAAATGGATTGTGTCACCATCACTGGCTCCTGAACTTGCACAAGCTGTGGTTTTTCAAGTTTTTCACATCGCATTCAAGCACCAGGAGTTAAATTTGTAGCTATTTATGTTAACCTGTGGTATCTAAATGTGGAATGCACTCCTGATCTCATTTAAATAACTCTACTGGATTTGTGTACAGGCTTAGATAGACTTTAACTAATTTAATAATTGATTCTATGTAGAAAAAAAAAATTTCAGTGAAAAATATAAGAGGTCAAAGCTATGATAATGATGCAAAAAAAAAAAGACCTCAACAATGGTTCATATTCTTAAAAAAAAATTTGGAACGTTTTATATTCCATGCTGCAGTTAGATACGTAGGTTGAATTAAGAACCTGTTTAGGTTGTGTTTAGACTGTTAATTTAAATTAACCTAAAATTGAGATGTTTTTTAACATTATTAATCTTGCTTACAAATTTTTTTCTGCATGAACCAAAAAATATTTAATTTTACAATCTAAGTGTCCATCCTTAACTTTTAACCATCCTTAACCATTAGGTAGTAAAATAATATTGCTACTGATTTAAGTGTTAAAGATATGATTAAAACTCGCATGAAAGTTCAAAGGTTTAGAAGTAGATTTGAGTGATAAGAAAAAAGTTTATAAGTATTTTATCCTAAAACTTTATTAAAAAAGAAATTTTAAGATAAATATTCCTTGTAGCAGCAGGCTATAAGATAGTTGATGTAGCAGTACTCCCTTTAGGCAGCTGGCTAAAAGATGAAGCAACACTCCTCACATGATTTGCATTAAAAAAGCAACAATCCATGCATGTTTTACCTATTTGTCAGTCAATGTAGCGACACTGCTCGCATGTTTCAAAAATATTATGAAACAATAAAAAAACAAAATCAAAAACACTAATATTTAAAAAAACTTTCTAGTCATTATTATTGCAGTTTTTAAAAAAACGATAAACAAAATGTACTTCCGCATTATTTTAATTGTTTTAACTTTTTAACAACATTAAAATGTTGCTTAATTGTTGATCTCGCTTAAATGTTGTTGAAAGAGACTTTTTTAACCATAAAAGTCTCTTTAGACTACAATATAAGGTAAAGTATACTTTAATGTAGAATTTACATACTTTCATATTGTAGTCTAAATGTAAAGTATACTTTAAAATTTCTATTTTACAAAGTCATGGGTTTATATTTCTAAACCATTGTTTTCATTAACTTTAAAATTTTATTTTTGTTTAGAAGAGGCATATGAAAAGGAAAAAAGTAATTTCCAGTCATTGAAACATTTAATTCAACAAAATTCTGATGGAATTCAATCTGTTGATGATGCATTAAATAAAACGAAACAAAGACAATATGCAAGTGTTCACTGTCAAACCAGCTTTAATACCGAGAAACTTTGTTTTGATTTTAATTTTTTAAATAGTGAAAACTCCTTATCTCTCATTACTCAGTATAATTCAGACATTTCCCAAAAGTCTGAAACTTTAGAACAGCCAATCAATGGAGAGTGTAAAGATTATAATGAAGCACTTGATGCTCCAGATGGAAGTTCACCAAATTCTAAAAAGTTATCATTTGATATGTTAGACTATAATTATGAGAATGCAAATGATTTTAAAACAACAGAAGTTATTAGGAACTCCATTACTTTATCCCAAAATGAAAATGAGGTTGGGACTCAGGTTGTATTAATATCAAATACCCAAAATGCAGATAAATCAAAGTGTTTATATGATGCAAAAAATTGTGATAATGAGTCTTTAGTTTTAAACAATATTAATCAAATTGAAAAAGAATCATTTAGTAACACGTCCCATATTTATTTTGAAAACGACCGCAATACAAATAGAAAACTCAGCGGTGAAACAGTATTGGTTCAAAAAAATTCTCATTTAAAAATTTCTTCAAATGTTTCTACTCAAACAGATAATCTAGAAGACACGAATGCAGATCAAAGTCATGCAGATCAAACTGAAGATTTTGAAAGTTTTACTATGAATACAAACAATATATTTTCAGCTAGTAACATTACTCTAAGATCAGTAGGGGAATTTCTTCAGAATATTTTAAAAATTGGTGGCTCCATTCCACAACTTAATTACCTTCACAGCATAACTGATATTACTAATATAGATATTGGAAAGTTTGATTTGCTTTTTGGTAGCTCTTTAACTGACAACTTAGACGATTTAGAAAAGTATATAATATATCTTGGATACCTAACTGATGAGATGCCTTATTTTATTGATAGTGCAGTTGTGTTAAATGACGTACTAAACATAGTAGAGGATGAAACCAATATTGTTTCAGTTTTTGATAGAGATAATGTTTCAATTCTTAGTCATTTAGATTCAGTAGATGCTTGTGGATCTATTGCACAAAAAAAATTTAAATCCGAATGGGAATCATGTGATGATTTACTAAAACTTGTAGAAGATGAGTTAAATAATGAAAAAGACATGTATATTACTGATTCAAAATCTTCAGAAACTATTTCTGAAAAGGAAGCTTCTATCGTTAAAGAATTAACTGGTCTTGAAAATCAAATTGAATCTTGTGAAAAGAAACTTTTTGAAGAGTTGGACAACCAGACTAAATCAGGCGATATTGATAAAGTTTCTGATCTGAACAAGAAAAAAGATGATATTCAAACATTTTTTAAAAAATTAAAAATTGACTTAGAAGATTTGTCTTTAGATGAAAATTCTGATTCTGATGAAAACAGTGATTTAATTGAAAAGGATTTGGATTCAAATCAAAATCTTTTTCGTAAAAATTCTTTAACTGGTCTTGATACAAACAATACTTCGCAAAATGAATGTAATAATAAATCTATAACAGAAATTGAACTTGAAAATATTGCATTGCGAAAGGAACTTATGTTAGTAAAATTGGAAAAAATGCGACTTGAAGCTATGTTGGCTGCAATGTGTAAGGATATTGATTTATCTACTATTGGTGCCCCTTCTATTGGTGTCCCTTCGATACCTGGAAGTAAAAGTTCTCGCAGAGGAGTAAGTCACATTTTAATTTTTTTTTTAAAGTCTAAAAATTTTTATTGCTGTTTTTACTGCATAGCTTTGTTTTTACAATCGTTATATACAAAAACAGATCTGAAGAATGTTCTCATTTATAAATTCTCATACTGAAAATCTTCATAAACTTCCTTGCCATTACATGCCATACTGATAGCATATTAAACTTAAGATCAATGATTTTTAATGAAGTTTTTTATTATTAAAATGTTAGCTAAACTATGTTTAAAAAAGAAATTTGGGTTCTTTTTGGTAATGTTTCATTTAAAATAAAGTTTTATTGATTCGCCCATTAATTTAAATTAATAAGTAAGAATATTTAGTCATTAATTCAAGTTTAATTATTTACTTACCAAAGGTTACTATCATAATCATAATCTCATACACCCCCCTGCCCCTAACATAAGAGCAACAAGTTGATAAAATATTTTTTGTACTATTCTTAACTAGACTTATATTCATTGGTAAATTTTAAGTTTCGTAGTATAATCTTTCAGCGTTCATAAATTATGACCATTTAAATTTTGTAACCCCCTCAAATTGAGAGGGGTTCAAACTAAGTAAGTTCATAATTATTAATCTCAAACAACAAAAAATTCTGTCTACGCCTCTGATTGTAAATAAAGATTAATATGATAAAATTAATACCAAAATAAAATTCATCTTTTAAAATCAGCCTTTTAATATTGATCTGAATATAGTCATTGATATATACACACACATATTATATATGTGTGTGTGTATATATATATCTTAGACGTAATTTCCTTATATATTTTTGCCCACTATTTTTCTTTTTTTTTCTTTGCTTGGTTCGGTGTTCATTTTATTACATTCACAAGTGTAGACCAAAATAAAAAAAAAAGAAAAGCATCACTCAATGTAAGTATTAAAGCGCGCACATTAATTTGGAAATTAATGTTTGCTCTAAAATACTGATTAGTCTTATATATGTATGTATATATATATATATATATATATATATATATATATATATATATATATATATATATATATATATGTATATATATATATTTATATTTATATTTATATTTATAAATGTGTATGTAATGTCTGATAACATATTTTATGTTTTAGAGTTTCAAAAGACTTTTTAAAAAGTTCAAAATAAGGAAAAGTTCATCGCGTGAGTAAAACTATTTATCTATATATTTATAATGTTTTTATAACTCTAAAAACTCTTACAATTGAAGCCTGTTCGAAAGTTAGTTTTGAAAAATTGTTTTGTCAGACAACTGGTATTTTAAATATATACATTCATATGTAATATGTCATATTACATATGAATCTACAGCTAGTTTTGATCATACTTTTTTGAAGCTCCATGTGTACTTGAAAGTTTGTAAATTCCTACCTCTATTTAGAGGAAGTGTTAGGAGTTTTATTTTGAAGTTATATGTTAGGTAAAAATCATTTGAAATGAAAACTTTTATAAACATATGAACTTTAAAAACTTAGATCTAACACAGGGTGCATAACTCTCAGAAAAATTCTGGAAATCTTCTGACAGTTTAGAAAACCTGAAATGTTTTTCTATTCATTTGATAGTTCTATGTCAACAACAAAATTAAAGTGAAGTATTGGACATTTGCTTTACTTGGTCATTCTACAGCTTCTGACCTTCTTACTCATTTCAATGAAAACTTTTAAGATTTGATTTAAGTAAAATGTGAAATTTCTAGATGATTTTAACATAAAAAAGACAATGAGATTCCACAGCTTATAAACATTCAAAGTAATGTATGTTGCTTTTAAAACTGCTATAGAATTGACCACATGGCATATTAAATAAAACTTTAAAAGGTTTTTGATAAGTTTTTTATGAGAGCTCTGCTAGATTTTAAGATTATGAAACAATAACAGGTTTAACAAAATACCCACTATTATTTTATGCAACTAAGTGGTTTGAAAGTAAATCTGTTGCAGATGGTGGCATCTGCAACAGATTTACTGAAATCTGTTGCAGATTTATTGAAATCTGGTTAAATATATGTTAGTTGATTGAAAATGCAAAATGCAGGAAAAAAAATTTTAATGTAAAAAAAGTTGTTAATGACAACTTTTTTCTTTAAAAATTTGAAGTTTTTAACTTTGTTGTCAGCGTATTAGAGCCATATTTGAAAGACTGTTATGGACATACTGAACTTGTTTGTGAAACAAGATAATTTTAAATAATTTTGATAAATAATTGTTCTATACTCATCCAATTTAAAGATTTTATTTTTTCAACATCTTCACTTCCAACAAACCGCAAGCAACCACTATTAGAGTTGCAAGTTACTCAAAGAGAAAGACGAAGTTTATAGAGCAAGATAACAATTGACAGACAACTTAAAATATTGCAAATTATATGAATTAGGAAAACAAGATGATGGAAGTGAATTCCAAAGTACTGATGCTTGAGGGAAAAAACTGGTTGATAAAGAATTTTTAGAGCACTTAGGAACAGTCACAATAAAAGGAAGAAACTTAATAGAATGACGAGTAACACGAGAATGAATTTTAGTAGGAGGTACAAGAGACACACTAACTTTTTAGAGCAGTGCGCATTATAGTATTTATAGAAAAGAGAAAGAGAAGCAAAATTACAACAATGTAACAATAGTTGGATGTTGGCTGTAGGAGTAATTCCAACTATGTTTACTATGCGTTTTTGCACCTTGTTTAAGAGAGAAAGGGCATCATTGGAAGATCTGCTCCAGATATGATGACAGTAAGAGTTAATCCTAGAAGATGAAGGATAGATGACTCATTGAGTACATTACCGTTCATAAATATAGGAAGATTTAGATTATTACAATAACGATTTAAAAAATTGAGTTTTCTCTGAGTTAAAGTTAAAGTTCACGAGCCAGTGTGAGCCCAATGCTGAAGCAAAAGTGAGATCCTTTTCAAGCTCAAATACCCCCTCCAAGCAATCAGAGAGTGGTTTCTTATCAAGACAAGAATAAATGGTAGTATCATCAGCGAACAATGCCACCTTAGATGTGAGAATATCTGGAAGATCATTAATGTAAAATAAAAAGGTATCATTTTTGACTGGAGATTTCCAGAACAACTTAACATTTTTGAAACTTTGTTGATGACAGACCAGAAATGAATTTGACCTTGACAAAAGGAGTGCTGATCTTCATAAGGAAAAAATGTTCTAAACTTAATCACCATTGGAGCTCCATTAGTGATGACATCGGTGATAACATCAGTATGACATCAGTAGTGAAGCAAACAACGCAATTAACCAAATTCAATCCAAATTCTGCCACTCTCACTTTGACCATTTCTGCTGCTTTTTCTGCAAGAAGAGACCATCATATACGCTAAGTTCAAGATTTCAGTGTTTCCCTTTCTGGTGAATGTTAATGTTTAGAAATCTTCTTTTTTTTAAGGAAGTTGATTCAGCATAACAGAAAAGTGTTTCCAATCAAACAGCAATGAACTTAGTTGATTTTTTAGCTCATTTTTGACATTTGCAGGATAGTTTTTTAGCAGTTTAAAAGTTTTTTTTTTTTTTTAACCAATTGAAATAGCTTGTTTGTTTTTTTTAACCAATTGAATTAGCTTTTTTTATTTTTTTTTTTAAACAATTAATTTCTTGTTTGTTTTTACTAATTTTACCAATTGAATTTTAATTCAATTTTACCAATTAAAAAGTTTTTCATTGTATATTTAAATTTATTGCTAAAAGTTTAAAATAAACTAAAATGTGTGACCGAATATTAAGTCAAATTTAACAAATTTTTTAGTCAGGAATTAGGCAGCCATCAAGCATCGTACAATTTTCTTGTTCATGTTATTTGATAGTATTTTGTTTCTTTTTGGTATGGTTTGGATATATTTTGTTTTTTAATAAGAGTTTTTGATTAAAACATTTTAGGACAAAAGAAAAAGATGTTTAGTCCTGACAGGATTCAGCATACATCAAAAAAAAATTGTGAAATTCTCAAATCTTTTCATTCTACTAGATCAATAGATTCATTGATTGAAAACCGTCTGAATAAACATCTCACTGAGCAAGATAGTTGAGTAGCCAGGTAGCAAGATCACTGAGCGCTCAGTGGTGCTTCTATCAGATGGTTATTAGCCACGGTTTGACTTTAACGTTTTTAATGTTTTGCTAACTAATAAAAATTATAAATTCTGAATATGGAAGCACTAAAAACATCATTTAGCAAATGGAGAGCATGATTCACTCTTAGATATAATTGCTTGGAGCTCAGATGTATAAGAACCTATGCTAACATTGTCATTATTATTTGTCATTGTAATCATTTATTAATTACTTTTTTATTATTATTATTTATAATGATTTTATTATGTTTTTAATTCATTAAGTTTATTGATTACAAGATTTATGTACCTTACTTTCACGTTTACCAACAGTTGGTTGAAAGATGTGAGAAAAGCTTCTCAATCTGATATTTTGCAAACACAAATGAGATTGGTATGGACAGAGACAATATGTCATGTAAAAAGTCATTCGCTATTACCAATTATTTTAAAGCTATTAATATTATTGGAAAAGGGGATGAATGCCCTTGGTCTACAAATTTTAATCATTTATGATTAGTAAATTATTTTATGGGTTGTGCTATTTGTTATAAAAAATAGAGGTCTTTTTGTAACAAGCTTTTAAAATCATTTATAAATCAGTTTTCTTAAATGTGCCTATGTATAGACAAAGAATTGCACTATTTATACGTGTTTGTACAATATAAAATGCTGAAAAGTGTTTTTTTTTTTTTTTTGTTTAGACAGTATCACAAGCACGCCAAATGTTACAAGCACACCAAATAGGTACTTTTTTAATTTATCTATTGTTTTTTTGTTAGATATTTATGAATATATTTATGTATATATTCATATTATAAATACATTTATAAATATATTTAAATTAAATATTTATACTATATTTATGAATACTCATAACTCCACTATTTATTTTGCACTAAATTAAAATCTAAAATTTTTTTTTATCCTAATTTTTTTTTTTTTTTTAATTGAAAAACATTTTTTGTATTATTAACACACTTATTTATTAGATGTCCTATTATCACATTACCAGGTTCATATCAGAAGCCATATTTTTTTGCAATTTGACATCCCTTTTGAACAAAGAGTTTTTTTCAAAAGATTTTGATAAGATGCTCTGTTTTATCAAGTTTCATTTTCATCTCAGTATTTATGTGGATTCTAGCATTGTTTTGTTGGAAATAAACTTTTTACTTGTTTCAAACAAATGCCTCAACCATTTCAAGAGCAGAACATGAGTAAAGCAAACGAGATCAATTTTGAATGTTGTTTTCTTATTACTGCTATTAAGATTCACATCAAAAAATCATCTTCCTATAATAGAAGTATATTCATCAATGCTTATGCTTGTGTTTTATATCATTTTTTGAGTTTTTCCTGGATGCTATCAGTTATTGTGTTTCTCTAAAAATATTTCACTACATCATGTTCTGTTGTTGAAAGCCATCTCGAGATATTGATTATTTTATATAACTATTTCTTGTGATTGCTCTTATAGATATTCCATCTTTTTTGAGTTCTGTTAATTTGCATAATTTGCTGTTCAACTATTTTAGAAGTTTTTTTGATTAATTTGCATACATTGCTATTTCATTATTTTAAAGGTTTTATTAATTAATTTGTATACATTGCTGTTCAATTATTTAACATCTTTTGATATTTTAGTTACTTAACAGCTTAAAAACTGAAAACTTATAAATTTAAAAAAATTAAAAATTTCGATAAAATTAGAAAATATTTTTCAGAAAATTTAAATTTTTTTTAAAAATCTAACTTATTTTATCAGGGTGTCTATGAATGCATATAAATCTTTAAATAAATCTGTCATAATTAGGGTTGGTGTTTATACCTATATGCGTAGGTATTACATGCCATACCTAAATGGTATACACAAGTAGTCAAGTAGGGAGGTGCTGCTAAGACATTTTCCCACTAAAATGTCCTTGATTATTGACATTAACTGTCTTATTTTAAAAGGTTCAAATTTGTTCAATCAGTGAACTAAAATTCATTAATAGGTGCGTCTGCCATCTTTTATGTTTTTTAATAAGAATGGTAATATGAGTATTAAAAATAAACAGTAGTGCAAAAAGAAGGTAGAGGGGGATGTTTAAGTTTTTTTGTCGTGACTTTTATCTTGAATGTGCAAGGGTTTTTTTTCTGTTTTCAAATTGCTTCGATGATATTTTAATATACTAAATTTTGAATTTTTTTTTATTTTTTTTATATTTTATGAAAACAACTATCATTGCTTGATTAAAATATTAACATTATTTTCATTATTATCTCTTCTATCACCATGATTGATTGAATTTTGAACGATTTTAAATTGAGTTTTCTCAAAAACCATTTAATCAATTGTTACGCCTTTTTTTTATAATGATGCTAGCATAATCAGTTTTCTTGTTTGTGAGTGTAGTTTTGTTTATCATTATTAATCCTCATTAGTTTTTGCAATGTTGAGTAAATTGTCAGAAAATCAAAAAAATTTTTGAAATTTTACATAGAAAATCTACCACTCTCATATTCCATGATTTCTAAAGCATGTAAAGTTCCAAAATCAACTGTTGGAATTATTGTAAAATTTTATAAGGAAAAAAAACTGTGAAATAAAATCGGGAAGTGGCCGAAAATCAAGATTTATTTCCAAAAAGAACGCAAAATCAATAGTTGACTCAATTCATCAAATCCGACTAAATTTTTGTTCAAAGAGTATTCAAAAAAGAAAATCTGAAAGAATATTACAAGAAAAAATACAAAAAAGGTTGCTTGATGGAGAAATCAAGGCAATTGGATTAGCTAAAAATTTGCTTAAATTAATTATGAAATTTATGCATAAATTATGCATTTTAGAAGACGATGAAACTTACTGTAAAAAAGATCACTCGATGCTTCCAGGTAACCAATACTATTATCAGTCGAAACGTTATAAAGCTTCTGACAAATTTAAGTACATTTGAGTAAGAAAATCACTTTCGAGTTCCTTGTATGGCAGGCAATTTTCAGTTGAGGTTTTAAAAGCTCTCCTTTCATAACAAATCAATCTTTGACACCAGATCTATATGCGAGTGAATGCTTAAAAAAACGACTTCTTCCTCTAATTAAATAACACAAATAAACGACTTCTTCGTCTAATTAAAAAGCATAAATAATCAATCTTATTTTGCCCAGATCTGGCATCAATTCACTTTTCCAAAAAAGTAGTTCAGTGGCATAAGAAAAAAGAGTCTGTTTTGTTCCAAAGGATGCTAATCCACCAAACTGTCCTGAGCAGCGAGTTATCGAATCTTACTGGGCAATTGTGAAAGGAATATTGAGGAATAGAGGCAGATGTGAAAATAGTGTTGAAATTTTTCGAGATTTATTGATTAATGCTACAAAAAAAGTGTAAAGTAAAATTCTGGAGACGAGTACTTTACAAAAAATTAAATTACTTCCACTTCGTAAAGTTAATTTATTTTATTGAAATAAGAACTCATTATGTAAGCATCATTATAAAGAGAAAATCATTACAATTGGTTAAGTTGTCTTTAAGAAAACTCAATTTAAAATCGTCCAAATTTCAACCGATCATAGTGATAATATAAAATATGCTTCTTAAAAAAAAATTTCACGTAAAATCTGAAAAAAGCATACACCGAAGACCAAGTCGCGCTTGCTGTGGCGAAAATAAAAAGTGGCGAACTTTCACTCAACAAAGCTGCTCAATCATTCAGCATACCAGTAGCAAATTTTTTGTAGGTGTTACAACGTCATAAGTGAAATAATTGGCAGTGGTTCAAACTCAATGTTGTCACAATATTTTGAATCAACTCTAGTAGATACACTCATCAAATTATCCAATCAGGGCTTTGGTACAACTTAAAATGGTATCGTCACTTTAGTTATCGACTATTTGCAACACCAAGGTCAATCTTATCTGATTTCCAATGGTACACTAGGGAAAAATTGGTACAAGCATTTCATCAATCGGTGAAGTCAATACTGCTGGTTATAGACTTGCACCATGCATTATTTTTAAATCAAAAAAAACGTCTGTACAAAGCTGGTGCTTAAGTGGTCGTGGTGCCGTTTACGCAACATCTCCGTCCGGATGGATAGAAGTTAAACGATTCGTGCAGTGGCTGCTCGGCGTGTGCGTTCCCGCCAGTAAAAAATTTCCTGGTAAATAGTCGGTTTGTTAAAAAAAAGTTTAATTAATAATTTAATTAAATAAATCGAACTTTGGTATCAGTACGAAAATCCAAAATGCAAATTTTGGCTTTGTTCAACATGCATTTTAAAGTGATTTATAAATGGCGCCAAAAGGTGCAGCACAAGTGACTACTCAACTCAACCTCAAGAACCTTTTAAAGACTCAACATCATCACATAAATAAAACTGTTTTCTTTATTAATTGGTTGTTTTTTTCATTGTTATCATTGGTAGCATTTTTTAATTGAGTATTTTTTTTATTTACCCATCAATTTTCCTACTTCGTTCTCCCCAAATATGAGAGTAGAACAAAGTAGTTGTTTTTTTTTTTAATTAAGTAAAGTTTCTTAAAAACTTTTTTAAAAAATTATTTGATTTTTATATATTTAAATACATCTCAAATTTCTTTACAACTTAAAAAAAAAATGAATAAAAAATTAACTATTTTATTTGACCCTCTTTTACTCTATTTTTTTCAAATCATTGAGTTTATTGCATGAATGTAAGGAGTTTTACACTTTATTTTAGTATTCAAAAGTCAGGTTTAGTGGCCAAATGGTTAACTCAAGAAAACAGATATTCTCTCACAGATCCAATATCACCAACTGCTGATACTGATCTAAAACATGAAAGCAAGTCATTATCAGATATTAGCTATGCTGGTGATTCTCCGTTAATTACCAAGAAAATACCTGGTAATGTAAAAAAAAAAATTTTTTTGTCTCAATAATATTGTAAAATTAAAAAAACAAAGTACTTGCGCCAGCTTTTATCTACTCGGAGTTGTTTTTTATACGGTATAAAACGATAAACGAATGTTTTGTGCTTTTTTCTATAAAACTTAAAAAAATTGTTTCGTACTTTATTTTTACAAAACTAGAAAAATCTTTTTTGATTTGTATTTTACCTTTTATGCTTTGTAGCATTTTTTTTAAATTGAAAATTTGTGGTTTAGATGATACGCCTTATGAAAATGGAGAAACGGCATCTGTAAAGTCGAAAGATCGTCACTTTCCTTTTATTAAATTGCACAGGAATTCCAGACGTTTTTCCAAGAATCTAACAAAACTGGAAGACGTTCCAGACGTTTCTCCAAAAATCTAACAAAACTGGAAGACGTTCCAGACGTTTCTCCAAAAATCTAACAAAACTGGAAGACGTTCCAGACGTTTTTCCAAGAATCTATCTAAACTGAAAGACGTTCCAGACGTTTCTCCAAGAATCTAATAAAACTAAAAGACGTTCCGAACGTTTCTCCAAGAATCTAACAAAACTGGAAGACATTCCAGACGTTTCTCCAAGAATCTAACAAAACTGGAAGAGTAGAAACTTTTGATTTGTATTACTCTTTATTTATATTACTGTTAATTTTCTAGAACATATTTTTGCAACTATTTAAAAATCTTTTTTATAAATGTTATTTAAACTTTCTTATTGTACATATATTTTTTATAAGATTTTTTTGTAAATATAATTTTTACTATTTAAGGTAACAATTCGTCAGCTTTTCGTGTCATGATGTTGCTTATCCTAAATTGTATATATTGGATATAACACCATCGGAAACGGTTACTTTTTAAAGCATGCATCCATTTTTTGTATTTTTGTTTTTTTGTTGTTGTTGTTGTTTGGTTATTCACTTTTAAAACACATTTCTACTACAAAACCATTCAAATGAAAGACCTCGTGATTTTTTGCAGGGTTTTAATTTCCCGGAAATTTTGGTAATAATTAATTTCCCGGAAATTTCGGAAATTTCAAAAAAAGATAAGTTATTTTATAAATCAATATTAGGCTGTTGTTATAGACAATTTTATGGTGAGATAAAGTAAATTATAGAAGTTTTAAAAAGCCATATATATATATATATATATATATATATATATATATATATATATATATATATATATATATATATATATATATATATATATATATATATATATATACAACTTTAAGTAGCAACTATGATAATTTGTTTTCAAAGTTTTCTAAAACTGTTTTATCTTGTTATTTGCTAAGCATATTGATGTTCATTGCCGTAGCAAGCTTTGTTTGAAGCCTAACATAATGTGGCCTATAAGTTACTGAGAATTGTAAAATTATATATAAAAAGGTTTGATTGAATATTTGCAGCATTTAACAATTTTTTCTTGGTTTAAAGACTTTATTGATTAATGAAAGGCAAAAAGTAAAAAATGTTTTTGCTAGAATTTTTTTTGCTAAATTTGAACAATTTAAAAATATTCATAGCAATAAAAATAAAGAACTAATGATTTCAAGATCATAAGCTCCACCGCTATGTTTAAATAAGTGCTGTTAAGACTTGAGTCTTACTCGCCACATCATTGCTACACATTTTTGACTTTATGAATCAATAAACTAAAAAATGAGGGATGCGGGGTGAATCCGTAAAAAGTACGGACTGGTTTCTTTAAAATAAAAATGAAAAAGGTCCTTAAAAACTAAAATTTACCCAACAGAGTTGTGTCAAATACCCGACTGACCAACTAAATTCATCATAAACCGATTATAACTTGAAAATCACCTTCTTTGTAGAGTTAGAACACCCCCTTCCCTTACACACCCTCCCTCTAAAATCGTTTTTGTATGCAATTTTTACACATAAAAAATCTTTTTTTCTCTGCACTCTTCAAAAATACAATAAAACTTATTATTCTAAAAAAGATTTTTTTTTTCTTTATTTTTTATGAATATTTTACATCGTAGTTGAAAGAAGTAAAAGCTAGAAATACGTTATACACAAGCTCAAAAAACAAGCTAACTCGGAAAACATCTACTTATTATTGTTTCACAAGAGTAAGTATTTTTTAGTCAAATATTTATAGTATATTGCGCTCTTTTAAAAAAATGCGCAATTCTTAAATTGACTATAAATATTTGACTAAAAAATGTGCATTTTTCGCTATGGTGTTTATTATTTTATATTTTTTCGTTAAAATATTTAAAGAATACCCATATACGAAGATGCATGTTTCTGAATAGACGATTTCGGAGTTTTCGGAAAAATATTCATGGGGTGCAAGTTGAACTTTGAACTTTCCGTTTTTATGCGAAATGTCATATAAAAGTATGAAAATTTTCTTAATTTAAGTTCAAAGTAACTCATAGTTTATTAATCAATTCTTGGTTTAAAAATATTTAAAATGTTAAACTTGTTGCAAGAGCTTTGCTGTTATAGAACTTATTCTTGAAATTATATCTTCACAATTTAAAACCAAAAGGAAAGGTGATATGAGATAATATTTAATGGTGATATTATATAAAACTTTAAACCAACAATTCACTTTAGTATTTTATTACTGTGAACTGTTTGATCTCATTATAAAAAACTAGTTATTAGTTTAAAACTAGTTAATTAAATTGTATGTAGTATAATGCCAAGTCATAGCAGATTTTTAGTTAGTGTCTGTAATAATGACAAAAGACACCATGACGAAATTATAAAACATAGCAATGTTGAAGAAAATTTAACTATATTCTTTTATTGCTTTTTTTAAAATAAAAGCATTTAGTAAGTAATACCTAGTATGTAATATAATGCCAAGTCATAACGGATGTGTAGCTGGTGTCTGTAATTATGACAAAAGATACCCTGACAATTATAAAACATAGCAATGTTGAAGAAAATTTAATAATACACAAGTTACCAACATGTAAAGAAAGAAAAAATGCATGATACATCATGGTAGCACTGGTATAAAAGATGTTGTTCGTAAAAACTTTTTTGTTTGTTCGAATCACTTCCTCGAAGAAAAATCTACTAAAAATAATCCTGATCCAACATTGTTTTTAAAAATTTCTACTAACACCATAACAACACCAAAAAAGAGAAATGTACCTTTTCCACGAAACTCAATTATTTCTAAAAAGGTTTTAATTATGAAAGAAACTAATTCAAATTTGATGGATGGTTGCAGTTCTAATGTTGACTGTGGTGATTCTGAGTTGAATTTTGTTGTTGCAGATGAAAGAGAAATAGCATCATCTAGTGAACTTCTAGTCTCTGTCCCAATGATGTTCTGCCAGTTGACACGTGAAAATGATGAGCAATATTTTTACAGGTTTGGTGAATACTAAAATTTTCAAAAGTGTCTTTAATTATCTCAAACATAAAGCTTCTCTTATGACGTATTTGAATCCATAGAATTTGAATTAGTTTCTTTCATAACTAAAATTTTTTTGAATTAATAATTGAGTTTCGTGGAAAGGGTACTTTTCTCTTTTATGGTGTTGTTATGGTGTTGGAAGAGATTTTTAAAAACAAAGTTTGATCAGGATTATCTTTTGTAGATTTTTCTTCAAGGAAGTGATTTGAACACACAAAAAAGTTTTTAGGGACAATAAAATCTTTTATACTAGTGCTACCATGATGTATCCATGCATTTCTTCTTTCTTTACATGTTGGTAACTTGTGCATGTCCGGATATTATTTGTCATTGTTACAGACGCCAACATATATTTGCTATGACTTGGCATTATTTTACATATTAGATATTACTTGCTAAATGCTTTTATCTTTAAAAAAAAAAGCAATAAAATTATATTAACTAGTTTTAAACTAATAACTAATATTTTATAATGAGATCCAGCAATTCACTGTAATTAAATGTATGCACTTAAGTGAATTGTTGATTTAAAGTTTTCATATAGTATAGTCTGTACCATTTAAATTAATAAAATAGATACTTTACTTTTCAATATAAACTATATATATATATATATATATATATATATATATATATATATATATATATATATATATATATATATATATATATATATATATATATATATATATATATATATATATATATGTATATATATATATATATATATATATACATATATATATATATACATATATATATATATATATATATATATATATATATATATATATATATATATATATATATATATATATATATATATATATATATATATATATATATATATATATATATATAATTAAATAAAAAAATGCAAACTTATTTTACATTATAAAATTTAAAACCATAAAAAAAAAGGTATAATATCACCTTTTTTTTTTTGGTTTTAAATTATGAAGATATTATTTCAAGAATAAGTTTCATAATAACAAAAGCTCTTGGAACAAGTTTAACATTTTTTCTTTATAATTATAAACCAAGAATTAACTAATAATCTATGAGTTATTTTGAACTCAAATCAAGAAAATTTTCACACTTTTATATATTTCGCATAAAAACGAAATGTTCAAAGTTCCACTTGCACCCCAAAAATGTTTTTTCAAGATGGCTACGCTAACTCCGAAATTGTATATATTTATGGTAGATTTCACTAAAATAGGATTCAAATATTTTTGGCGACATTCCTAGCTTAGTTCTATACATAAAAACTAAAATTTCATGTAAATTTATTTTATAAATATTTAAAGCTCCAATTAAACACAATAAAGACTCAGGGTTTTGCTCTATAATAGCTATAAGTTTATTGCAGTAAAATATTTCTTGAAATTTGATCAAAATTTACCGGAAATTTTTAACCTTGATTTTTTGTAATTAATTTTGTATTTTAGACAATTTTTGGTGGTTGAAATAAGTGTACTGTAAGCCGTCTAGGCCTGCCATACTTATGTTATTGTTTATAATATAATAATATATAAATTTCATCCAGAAAATTCAATATAAGTAAATAAGGATGAGTTCATTTTTCTACTTTTAGTTAAAATAAACTAAAAATTGACTTGTGTCACTCGGTTTTTCACTAAATCACTTGATTATCTATTTTACAATTTCGCGGTACGATTAGTTATAAACCTCTAATAATACCAATATAAGTTGTTTTTTTTATCAGTAAATAATTATTCACCTCGAACATTTGAAGGTAGAAAAAAACAACTTGCAGTAACATATAGTACTGAGGCGTTAGTAGAGTGCGTGCTTCAAAAGTGCCTTGTATTAGGGTCAGATTTTGATGGTTCCGAATTGATTTAAGGTGAGGGTTAAGTTGCTCTAATTTTATAATTAACCCTAATCCTGACTCTCAAATAATCCTGACTCTCAAATAATCCTGACTCTCAAATAATCCTGACTCTTAAATAATCCTGACTCTCAAATAATCCTGGCTCTCAAATAATCCTGACTCTCAAATAATCCTGACTCTCAAATAATCCTTTTTTATATCTGTGGAAGAGTTTTCTGACGTATTTGTTAAAAGCGCAAAAAAAAATTTAATAGAAATTTAAAAGAATGATTTATTATTAAAATTATTTGCTAGTTACTCTTTATACTTTTCATTTTCATCTATAATATTTTGCTCACTATCGCTTTCAGCTTGAGGTTAAATTAAATGAGCATTTAAGGTTATCACATTGAACGCCTCTTTTGAAATAAGCAACATTTTTTGTTCTATTTTGATCTACTATGTAAACTATAACTACTTATGTATGAGTCTGAAGTTAATAGCAGTTTATTTCAGTGTTTTTGTGTTGCAATCGATACAAAAAAATTTTGAGACTAACATTTTGCATGTATTAACGAAAGTGCTTGTTTTGGGCTTTAGCTGCCTCATCAGATAACTGTCCAATAGGGAAGATTTCATGAGTTACTACTGTGGCAACATGCAAAAAAACTTTATGCATAGTCGGAAACATGGGATACTAACGTACCGTTTTATTTAAATTTTACCAGTTTCTTGAGCAAAAGCGTTTAAAAGTGGATGATTGATGCTGTTTGAATTTAAGAGCATTAATCATCCACTTGAAATGACTTCCAAATTTACGAGTATATGTTTTATTATATACAAGTAAACACCAGTTATACGTGAAGAGGTTTCAAGGTGTGAAAAAATCTTCTTGACGTTTTCAATATTCGCAAACCCTGCTTTAGGTGGGTTTATTTTTTTAGTATTCCCAAACCCGCTTTAGGTGTATTTATTTTTTTAGTATTCCCAAACCCTGCTTTAGGTGTATTTATTGTTTTAGTATTCCCAAACCCTGCTTTATGAGTATTTATTTTTTTAGTATTTTTAAACCCTGCTTTGGGTGTATTTATTTTTTTAGTATTCCCAAACCCTGCTTTAGTTGTATTTATTTTTTTAATATTCCCAAACCCTGCTTTAGGTGGATTTATTTTTTTAGTATTTTTATACCCTGCTTTAGGTGTATTTATTTTTTTAATATTTCCAATTCCTGCTTTAGGTGTATTTATTTTTTTAGTATTCCCAAACCCTGCTTTAGGTGTATTTATTTTTTTAGTATTCCCAAACCCTGCTTTAAGTGTATTTATTGTTTTAGTATTCCCAAACCCTGCTTTATGAGTATTTATTTTTTTAGTATTTTTAAACCCTGCTTTAGGTGTATTTATTTTTTTAATATTCTTAAACCCTGCTTTAGGTGTATTTATTTTTTTAGTATTCCCAAACCCTGCTTTAGGTGTATTTATTTTTTTAATATTCCCAAACCCTGCTTTAGGTGCATTTATTTTTTTAGTATTCCCAAACCCTGCTTTAGATGTATTTCTTTTTTTAGTATTCCCAAGCCCTCCTTTAGGTGTATTTATTTTTTTAGTATTCACAAGCCCTTTTTTAGGTGTATTTAAAAACTTATTAAAAATTTATTTAAAACTCTACTTCTTTTTTGAAGGAACCCCGGATGTCTCACCGGAACCCCGGTGAGATATCCGGAAATACGAATCAATTTAAAAGAAATACTAATTTAAATTGATTCGTATTCCTTTTAAATTGATTCGTATTTCTTTTAAATTGATCCAGAAAAGGTGTAGTGATAACAACAATTTCCAGTGATAACAACAATTTCCAGTGATAACAACAATTATTAAAACTAAGTCATTTAATAATAACCGAATTACAAAAGATTAGAAAAGTAACAAAAACGTTTGTAACTTCTTTATATAAATTACTTTTAATTATATAAACAAACTACTTTTACAATTAGTTTTTAAAATTAACATTATCTTTTTTTGCGTTTTTAAAATTAACGTTATCTTATCAAAATTCAGATTAATATAATTTTTTTGAATGGTTTATATTCAAATTTAAATGTTTAATATTTTACATTTAAAATTCAATTACTTTTTTACGTTGAAAAAAACAAAAGTGCCGTCCCTAATTTAATCTGAGTTCATAATTTGTTGAGCCAAGTATATTAACTTTTGTAGGTCTAAAATTATTTTCAGAATAAAAATAAAGTTAGATGGATTTATTTAGTTGAAAAGAACATAAAGGACAACTTCAACTCAAAGTTTCCCTACTTTTAGGCTTTTGGTTGAGTAAAGGCCAGAGATGGCGTTGCGATAAAAACTCATCTTGGGCCGATGTTAACTGCCCCAGTTAACATCGGCCCAAGATGAGTTTTTATCGCAAGATCGTTTTTAAAACGTTTAAAAAACGTTAATATTCGTTTTATTAAGTTTTTTAAACGTTTTAAAAATGTCTTGTGCTTACTGGGGCATCCAGCTAATGTCTTGTAGAAGATTTTCTAAACAAAGACTAAAAGGTAACCGGTCTTGCACCCCTTCGTTATTTATTAGGCTGGCATAGTACATCTATGTTTATACAATCTGTGTTTCACTGTTTGTTCTAAATCTTTTGAATGCTGAATCTTCTTGACTCTACTCATAGATTTTTGTTTGTACCTTTTTGATAGTGGCTATGCAACTTTTTCTCCTAATGAGGGTATACCACTAAAACTCAATTTAATGGTTCTGAGGCCAGCTGGTAGTAAGGTTTCTAGAGCTTTGTGATAGCTATCAGACCAACAACAACAGTTCCTGTCAAATCATATAGTTTGCATTATCGAGGCCACATATAGAGCTCTAAGTTACGAATTTGGGTTAATAAGCAGAATGGAGACAATTTAATAATTCGTGGTCTTGGAAGTAACTTTCCATCACCAGGTTGTTTTTTTTTGTTTTTTTTTCTATGTATTTAGGTGCTCCCAGAAGTCCTTACAGTCTTATCATAGAGCACCGCGGGAGAGCATTTAATAGGAAGTTCACGCCTCCTTCCGTACCAATGTCGCTTGTTGGGCTAGAGATGGCGTCGAACCTCGGACCTCTGGGTTCTGAACCAGAACTCTAACCACTGCGCCACGGCTGCTCATGGCTCATAATAGTTATTATGGTAGTCATAGTGGTTAGGGTTCTGAGCCAGAACTCCACTGCGCCACGGCTGCTCACGGCTGTTTTTGCTCTTTACAAAACTATATTTAAATTCGGTTGCTCCTTCTTCAGATCATTAGTGGCTATTTTCCTTTGATTTGCAAAGACTCTAATAGTTGCATGTTTGGTTTAACAGTATACCTAGGCATCACTTCGCAATACGCATCAATGCTCAATTACGCAGCAGTTACCCATTAGCAACCATGATATAGTGGTTAGAGATCTTACTTCAGAATTGGAGATCCGTGGTTCAAAGCTTGTCTTTGCCATATATGCATCATTAGTACGGAAGAAGGTGTGAACTTCCAGATTAAATGCCATTCCGCGGTGCTCTGTGATAAGACCGTTAGGACCATCACAATAACTAATAGTAATAATAAATAAATAAAATTAAACTATTTGTCAAGAAATCAAGTTTGAATCCTTTGATCTTTTTTTTATATGCTTCCGCTTTGCACTTCTTCACTCTTACAAAGTTTCACATCCTCTAATATTACACCTAGTCTTGTGACAACGCTTTGCACTTCTTCACTCTTACAAAGTTTCACATTCTCTAATATTACACCTAGTCTTGTGACAACGCGTAGATACAAAGATTGTTTAATCGGTCATGATTTCCAGCTTTTGCAAAGGAAGGGTACCAGCCACTTTTACTATCAATTATTACTACTGCATATGGCGGTAAAAGAACAATTAATAACCCTGATTTTAAAAAAGAAGAAAAATATATTCAATATTAAATAGCAGAGTACAAAAAAAATTTTTTGCATGGCTAACAGTTTTGACAAACAACAAATGCCAAGAAGTAAAAGATGATAATTTTTTTTTAATTTGTGTATACATAAAAGAATTTTTTTTTGAGAAAAGCATTAGTTCAGAAGCTTAAATTAAAAATATTTGTATGATATATATATTTTTTAATAATAAATAAAATTCAAAAAATAAGTCTATAATTTTTTATTGATATACTCTTATATTTAAACTTTTATATTAACTTATTTTTTAGGTGCCTAAACTTAGAAATAAATGTTGTTGTTTTTATTATAAGTTAAAATTGTATATGTAGCTTATAAATAACATTCAGCGGGTGTTCGAAACGAAGAAATTGCTAAAAAAAAAAAAAAAAAAAAATGTGTGCACTATTCTTTTTATTTTATATTCGTCGGTATAGATGCATAATATATGCATATATGCGTATTGGTGTTTACGTAATTACGTAAATTACGTTTACGGTAAAAAAAAATTTAATAAAATACTAGCAAATAAAAAAAAAAATTTCATGTTTCAAATCGTCTTTTCGTAAAGTATTTTTTTTTTGGTAGATAAGGGTAATTTTAATTTAGGGTAGATTAGGGTAAATGAGCACCTTGAAAATATGAGTATACTAAAAGATTTTTAAAATTTTTAAGCTGTGAAGTTGAAGTTACTTTGTATTTTTTAAACCGACTTTATGTGGTGATAAGAAGAATCAGTATAATTAGCATAAATTTATATGCAGTAGTTAGCGGCTTTCATCTAATTCAAAAGCTATTAAATTTTTTGCTTTGTGAAAGTATTATCATCTCATATGATTAAATCTGTGCCGCGAAATTTTGATGCTTATAATAAAATTTAATTTTTGATAAAGAATATAATGTTAACTAGAAATCCGTTCCAGTTTTGTTTGAAAAAAAATGCGCAGAAACATATAATTTAAAGATACCCATTTTGTGTAATATGAGCATATTCAAATTATCCAGTTTTTTTCATTAAAATAACCTAGTTTAAAGTTCTGATAATGTAGTGGTTTTAGTTGCTTTTTGATAAAATAAAAACAAAGCATAGTTAAAACTTTTAATATTTTAACTGTAATAATATTTTTCTGTAATTTAAGTTATTCATACAAAGCTGAGGAATTACTCGGCGTTTTTGGAGTAAATTGCTTAGCTTTACGTGAATAAAAATTTGAGCGAGTTTTCTAAAAATTTTATTCAGGTAAAGCTGAACAATTACTCCAAAAACGCTGAGAAAATGCAATGGTTTTTTTTTATTCACCCATATTGTTTCAATAAAAAGGGGCTTAAAATTTAAAACTTTTTTAAAACCTCTGTATTTTTAAAAAAGAATTTCGGGTGCCCATTTATCTAAGTAGATTATGAGTAATGATCCCAAAAATTGCCTTTTCGCAAAATATTTTGGATCCAGCATAACTATTTTGAAAATAATCTAATTTTTGCTTAAGTTGCCCACAGACGTAATTCTGCGAATAAAATGAGGGGGTATGAATCCTTAAAAAGTACGAACTGGCTTCTTAAACAAAAAGTCCTCAAAACTAAAATTTTTTAATTTTTTTATATGATTTTTTAAGTTGATTAAGGTGCCCCAAGAAGTCCTTACGGTCTTATCACAGAACACCGCGGAAGAGCATTTAATAGGAACTTCACGCCTCCTTCCCATCCGATGTCGCAAAACTTGTCCAGAGGTAGGGTTTGAACCACGGATCTTACGTTTCTGAAGCAAGTGCGCTACCACTGCGCCACGGCTGCTCAATTTACCCGACTGATTTATGTTAAATAGTCATCTAGCCGACTATATTTGTAAAACTAACTATAACTTGAAAATCACCTTCTGTGGGGGTGGTGTCATTCCCCCTCCTTACAATCCCCCCATCCTTCCCATAAAATCGCCTCTAGATGCTTGTAATACCCTAATCACACAAAAAAGTTTAATATACGTTCTAACAAGTGATTTATTTAATTTTTAGCGAAAAATTACAGTAATTAACCATTTCTACGGTATATGATTAATATTATTTTTATAAAAAATTTACTAAAGTTATCTAAATTTTTTATTCATCTACTCCAATATTCATAAACAATTATGACTTTTTATGTAAACAAACTTTTTTGTTGATCCTGAAAAATTTTAATTAATAGGACTTGTGTCCATTTTGAAAACAAAGGAAACAAACTAAATCTGTTCAACAATTTTAAATGCTGAAACTAAATTTTGACGCATATGGTGTGTTGCGTGTGCAAGTTATTTGATTGGCAAGCCTTACAGAATCGGCGCTGACAGCTAAAATTGCTGATGAAAAACTGAAACTAATTATGGCAAGTTGCACTCCGTTTACGTTTGCATATTTTAGGCAATTTCTATACTAAGTTAGTATCAGCAGTTTGTGGTAAAAAAAATCATGTTGGATTGAGATTGGAACGTATTCAATTATGTTGACATTCAACAACAAACCAAAATGGCATGTGATTGTATAGGAGAAGCAAGAAACTTTTCTTAAAGGACCAAATTTACTGCATAGTAAATAAATAGCAGTACACTGTACATAGTGTACATCTACTGATATCCGAGACTTATTAGATTAACATGAGTAAATTAATGCTGGATGGAATTGAATATTACTTTCAGTCAGTACATCAAAACTTTGTACTTTTGATTAAAATAGTAGCCATTTTGAATTTGGGCAAACGCCAGATCTGCTTAGAATCTTGCGAAACTGTTTAAGTAAGTTAATCTTTCATGTTATTTTTAATATACTTATATAAAGTTGCTAAATTACAAAAAAAAATTTCACTATTTCGTATTTTTGTATTTGCAACATTTTTCATTAGAAAGCAGAAATTTTGATCATAATGTCTACTATTTTGATTTTGCTAAAAACAGCAAGATAATTGATTTTAGGCTGCTTTAATTAATAATAAGAGCAGCATTGTTGCAGTGGTTTTAAGCACTGGATTTAGAATCAAAAGGTTCTATGCTTCCTCTGGCTCTATATCAATAAATAAGGTGGCGTGAACTGCTTTGTTAGATTCCTTAATGGTGTTCTGTTCCAAATCTGCTAGAGTGTTCTGCTAGTGGTGTTCTGTGAAGAAGTTATGTCTACAAAGTGAGTTTCTTACATATTGTTATCTTTATTTCGGGTCATGTCCTCTCGTAGTATAAGTAATTTTTTCAAGTTCGTTATGACAGTTTATTTTATCTATATTGTTTTGAAATCTAAGCATCTGAACTAGATCACCTCGTAACCTTCTATCAACTAATTTTGAAAGTTTCATATTATTTAATCTTTGTTTATAGTTAATACCTTTTGGGAAACAAATTTTAGTTGCTCGTTTTTGGACTCTTTTGATAAGAATAATATCTTTAGCGTAGTATGGGTTCCATATTTGAAATGGATACTCTAAGTGAGATTGCACGAGTGATATGTATAATAGTTTCATTGTATTTTTGTTGATATAGTTGAACGCGTGTTTTATTAACCCCAACTTACTATTAGCTTTGTTAACAATACACCCAATATGATGTTCCCATTTTAAATCATTTGAAATATATACAGTCTCGTTCTAACAATGTCTCTTTAAGATTTTTTCTAGATGTTCCTAATTCGTCATTATTGCATTTTAGTGTGTATTTATTTTTTGGGTTATCACGAACTATGTGCATTATCTTGCCTTTATCACTATTAAAGCTTATTAGCCGTTTAGTTGACTGTTCGAAGAAATAGTCCAAGTCATCTTGAAGGGAATTGTTATGCAAATTTTTATCATTTTCATCTAATTTTGCTAGCACCTTTAAGTCGTCCGCATATAATTTTGCTTTGTTATTTAAACCCTGTGTTAAGTCATTGGTGAAAATTAAAAAAAGTAAAGGACCAAGAACAGATCCTTGAGGTTCTCCATTTTTTACAGTTTCCCATGTTCACTACTAAGAGCTCCACAACTGAAAGGTGGGAGGGGGTTAGATATGAGTGGAGGAAATGATTCTTGAGGAACATATTACATTCAAGTTGATGGTACTTTTGCAGAAGTACTGTTACCAATTGAACGTAGTTATCATCTTTTTTGTAGCCTAAAAATCCACAAACCATTCCCTTAAGAGTTTCACAAGTTTCCTTTTCTTGCCTCTTTAAAATTTTGTCAAACGCAGGATCTTTCTGTCTTTATTGTCCCACATAAACAAAAAGCAAAACAATTACTTTTAGAACACCAGAAGTTTTCCATTTCTGTTCATTGTAATTAATTTAGTTCTGTCTTTTCCTGTGATATGTCCAGATCTCGAACAAAATCACTTTATCTGTTAACACAAAATTAGGATCATTTAATGTGAAAGGCTTATTTTCTTCTTTTTCTTCTATTTCTACTTCACTTCTACCTTCATTTTCTGATATTTAACTGTTCCTATGTTCTTCATTGACAAACCTGTCTCAATGGGTGGTATCAAGCAGAAATAGCAGTCATCTGTATGGTTTTTAGGCTCCCTCGATACCATTAGAGCAGCAAAAGTCAGAGATCTTTTTTTTTATTTTTTTAACCATTCTTGTAGTGTAACCGAACAAGAGCTACAGCATATACGTAGAACCCATGACTTATCCTGGTCCCCTACCTTCATATTGAAGTAATGCTGGTAAGCAGTTTTTACAAAAGGTTTCATAGTTCTTTTCTGTGAGGAAAATGTTATTTCACAGTAAATGTAACAAAAATTGTTCACTAAATTAACAAATTTCCTTGACATGTTGATTTGTCAAATTTAAAACTAGTAAATGAAAAAAAAAACTAAGAATAGATTAGACCAGCAACTTTAGCAAACACATATAACTAATATCACAAGTTTTAAACATAAATAAAACATTATGAATAGTCAAAAACAAAATAAATGTTTTTTTTCAAAAAATGAAAGTCTATACCCTTCAGAGAAAGTTTTTGCTTTTATTTCTTAAACTAGAGTTAACGTGCCATTTTTAATGTCATTTTTGAATTTAGCAGGTGAAAATACATATTAATAACTAATTTTGGTTCCGAAACAACATCACTGTTGTGCAGAGTAATCGTGATAGAAAAGCGAATAATTATAGGTATTAAAAATCATTATTTTAAATGTCACACAAAACAAGATAAGAATTAAAGGGCTACAAATATAGCTGTGATTGGGCTGCATATGTAGCAGTGATAGCTGTGATATTGCGTATCTCGTTTTACTCGTCATTTAGCTAAGTCTCATTCGTTTACTGTATCTGTCCCTGCATGCTCTAAAAACTTTTATTCATCTAGTTTTTTTCCCCGCACTTCAATCCTTTGGAACTCTCTCCCATCTTCATGTTTTCCTGACTCATACAACCTTCAACTTTTCAAGTCTTCTGTCAACCGTTTCCTTGCTCTATAACTCTGTTCTTTTTTTTTTCCTAGTAACTCCCAACTTAATAGTGGTTGCTTGCAGCCTTGTTGGGAGTGAATGCAAATAAAATAAAAAAAAAAAAAGTTGTGATACCAGTTGTCAAAAGTAAGTTTTTCAAAATCTCGGCTCAGATACTTTCTTTTTATTTTCACTAATATTGTTCTCCTAAATAACTTTAAAAATATGAAAAAATTTTATATTTTATGTAATTATCCTTAAAATATTATAATAGATTGATACAACATACTGACTTTGCGTTATATCAAGAAAATACAGAATTAGGCATAAATAAAAATGGTTTTTAAATTCAGTGGCAAATATATAAATAAATGTTTAAAAATCCGGGCAAGACTTTTGTTGCATTGTTCTAATTGATCTTGATAATTCAATTTAATTGATCTTGATAATTCAATTTAATTGATCTTGTAATTTTTTCGAATTTAATACACTCAGTCAAACTCCCATAGAACTATAATTTTTTTACGATCTGCACAAAAATATGTAATTTCTCGGCTGTTTTTTCAATTTATTCAAAGTGTCTAGACACGTCCTGCCCTTTTTTAGTTTAGTAGAACAGAGTTATCCAATACAGATGTGAGGAGGCAGAGCGTTTTGAATAATAAACTAAATTACTAAGAAACATTACTAAATAGTAATACTTTATAGTAAATATAAAAAAAAAAGAAAAAAAAATATTAATCTAGTAGTAATACGTATACGTATTATTGTTTAAGTTAATGATTTTTTTCAAAATTTATTAGCGGCCTTATAAAGGTGCAAAACATATTAGCATCCTTATAAAGTTGCTTAAAATTTTTTTTGAAAAAATCAATAACAAACAATTTACATTGACGCTTCTTTTTTTCTGATTTGGTAAATGTTTTTTTTTCTTTCTTTTTTTTTCTAAATATTGATATTTGTTATTTGTTAATATTGCAATATTACTTACAAAAAAAAATATTGTAGCTTTTTTATAAAAATAAACTCATATTATTGGTGTTTACTTTTAGGGTGGTGTTAGGTCTCAACCTTGATATTTTAATTCAAAAAATAAACTAGTTAACTAAAATAAAAGATTTTGTTTACAGACTTTAAAATGAATATAAAAACATATTCTTTGAACTCCAGGGAATTGGACCCGAGTTTTAGCCGTTTAGAGATTTTAAATCAAGTATTGAGATTTAATATTTAATTAATAATAGATTAATAATAGATTTAGTATAACTCTTTTTTTTTTTTTTTCAGACTTATTTTGGTTTTGTTTTCGAATTTTAAAACTAATAAAATAAAAAATTTTTAGTTTTGAAACTTGAAAACAAAATTTAAGTATAATAAATATTTAGAAAAAAAAAAAGAACAAATAAAACAATTATAATCTACCACAAAATTTTACTACTTATTAATTGAAAAACTCCACAACGATTTTTAACAAAAAATATATAAATATAAATAATCATTTATTAAAAACAAAAATAAATACTATATTTATATAAATAATGTTATATTATATATAATGTTACATTAAGTTTTAAAACTTTTCTTTTGGTTTTTACGACCAATTATTAGATGTCAAATATCAGCAGGTGTCAGTTTAACGGAATGTATCAACGGTCACTTCGTTTTAATATTTATTTTTTAGGTGCGTTCATCATTTTTTATCTAATTTCTTTTAGGATTTTTCTTTTTTAACTTTCAACTTCGTCGTGTACTAATGATTTTTTTAATTTTTCCCTTTTCTCGCTGTGTCTTTTTTTCCTTTTAACTCGTAAGTCGTGTATATTTAGACACGCCTTTATTGGTGGGTAAAATATTAAAAACGGAAAAAAACATATCATTAACGTAATCACGCACCATCGTCCACAGATATTTGAACTACAGGGTTGGCATTTGCATGGGTGATCTAATGAACTACCCGTATCATCGCTGTCTTGCGTATGATATACAGCAGACCTCAAGCAAACGAAGCAAGTTCCTACCTCGATAACATTTTCAAAATTATGCCTGAACTTTTTACGCGACTTTTTTCTTTTTAATTTTACTTGCGAAGTTGTAATCTCCGAAGATTTATTATATAATTCATCCTGAAAGCTAACTACTTGTTCTAATGCAATGCTTTTTGAAAACTTTGAAAAGTCCTTTTGATGGTCTTTTGAATATGCTGGTCGCCAAGAACTCGGTAGTGTTTTTGAACGGGCTGTTTCCGATATGTTTGGGTTTGGAGAATCTTTGATTAACGTAGTATACCCTTCTTTGCTTTTTGTTTTAGGATATCCATGATTAAGAGATGAGCTTTTTTGAGGGGAATCGTCGCTTGAAGACCTTTTGATCGCAGTCATCGGAGAAAAACGAGGTAAAAAATCAACAGGTTGACTTTTAGATTTCAGTATTAAATCACATACTGAAACCTGACTGTCATCTGTGTTGTTACTAAATGAACTAGTTTTAAAATTATTAATGGTGCTACCTTTTTCATCCTTACTTGCAGCATAAATTCCTTGAGAAATTTTCAATCGTTTTACTTTTTCTTTATCAATAGAATAAGGATACGGGGATTGAGAAACGTTTAGAACAATAACGCGAGAGTCTTCACTGGATGTTCTGCCTAAATGCCCAAAATTATGCATTGAATCGTTACTGGGAACACGAGATGTAAGACCAACTTTAGGGCTCAATAAAAGAGTTTGTTTGACACCATTCGATGATTCACCAGAATTTTCGCGTGAGCTACAAGATGATGAGTCAGAACAAACTTGTCTTATAATAGTAGGTTTCTCACCCGGCCCCCCAGCTTTTACCCACATGAGCTCATCTTTTTCGATATCTTCTTGGTCTTTATACATTATGCTCTTCTTATAAATTTTAGCAATCTCATTTGTTTAAAATATCAAAACAAGATGTTTTTAAATTAACTTGCAAAATCTTTTTGCTGCCATTCGTAATTTGTAGTTAGTAGTGAGTTTCAATAAAACGGTGGCACGAAAAGCATTTTACGTTTGCTGAAATATAAAAATTTTTAATTCAATTCTATTTCAATGACATGAGAAAAAAATTTTTTTCAATTACATTAAAAAAAAAACATGCAGCTAAGCAAATCCAGCCAAAATTAAAAAACATAATTCTAAAGGAAGTCAAACTTCCATCCAAAATGTTTTTCTTACAAAAGAATATTTGCTTTATAATCTACATATTGTAAGACTGATATGTAGATAAGCTCTTATTGAACAATTTGGCACAAAGTTGCAATCATTTTAAAAGTTCATACCAGCAAAACGCAAAGATTGGTAAAATATTACATCTAACAATCTTACAATATCTAAATATAAAAACTTTAAGACGCTTGTGCGTGCGACATTTAACACTGTTTAAAATTAACGTCATATAAAAAAGCTGTTTTTAATGAGAATTTCGATTAAACTTCCGTAATGATTTTGATTGGTTTTACACGAAAGGGTTTTTTTTTAATTACAAAATAAAAAAACTAACAATTGGAATAGCTATAATAAAGGTTTCTGCAAATCAATTTCATAGTTTATTCAAAAGTTTAAAAAGATTAAAATTAATTTTTTTCTCTAAAACTATTTTTCAAAAACACTTTTTTCTTATTTAATTTTACTTCTGGTTAAAATTTATTTAACTAATAAGTAATTTATTTAACTAATAAGTAATTTATTTAACTAATAAGTAATTTATTTAACTATTAAGTAATTTATTTAACTAATAAGTAATTTATTTAACTATTAAGTAATTTATTTAACTTATACTTTATACTTCTACTACTTAAAGACGAAAGTGTAAAAAAAGTCAATATCTCACCTTTCATTGAAAATTAATTAGAGAAAAAGAAAAGAACATAAAATGATAAAAGTCGCTAATTGTAAACGTCGTTCAAAATCTATACTTTATATTTATATAGTATATATTTTTTGCTTAATACCAATTTCAGTCATTGTGTTAAATCTCGAAAGCTTTTGTGAAAATGAAATTTTCTAACTTATTCAATAAAAATCAAAACAATTGGAGAGTTATAGCAAATATAAGAAAAAGGGATTTGCACTGACTGTTATTTACCAGCAGATAATAGATTATCCTTTCCGCACAATCGAAATTTCGTAAACTTTGTTTTAATTAGGCGCCGTATGTCACTTCAAAATACAGTCAAATTTGTTAATCAAAGATATATACGTTGTTGTTATTAGCTTGATGAGCTTGAATTCATTTCACATAGCTAGATAATATTTCAAAATAAAGTTAATGTAGTAGCAAATATTTAACGTTCACAACAACACTAATTTATGTCGTTTAATATTGCGCTGAACTAATGGCAATTCGATGACGAAATGCAACAAAAAATTATTTTTTTTTAAATAACGAATTCCATGTATATATTTCCAATTTACCCAAATTACTTTAAATTTTAGTAATAATAATTAAAAAAGTAATAATAATAAAAAAAAAAACATAGTATACTGTACTATAATATCTCTGTTATGTTAAAATACCTCTGTTATGTTATAATACCTCTGTTATGTTATAATATCTCTGTTATGTTATAATATTTCTCTACTTATCTCTTCTACTTACTACTTTTTTTAATTTAATTACTTTTTGTAAAACATAAAGTAATTAAATTAAAACCATTTCGTTCGCTTTTAAAATTAATCATTTTTTAAAAAATTACAGTTATTTTTTGAAATGTCTTTTAAATGTTCCAAAATTTTTCATAACGACTATTGTTTTGGTAATTAAATTAGATAAAACGGATGCTGAAAAATTTTAAACGCAAATCCGATAGAAACAACGCGTGGTTAGCGCATTGTTTTTCAGGCCTTTTTTTTTATTATTGCTTTGAGGTAATGTTTACGTTCATTCCGAAAAATATAGGATATTGCAGCAGTTGTCAAGTTAACAACAAAAAAGCAAACATTTAGAACTATGCGGTTTCCTTTAAAAAGATTTTGAAAGATATCTTTAAATTTTAATTTGTAGTTGACAATTTATTCAATAGTTTTAAAAAAGAAAAAAAAATTTTTTTTTTCTTTTAAACTTTTAATAAAACTACTGAAAATAGTTAAACAAAACAACAAAACGAAAAAATTTTGCAAATATTCTTTATTTTTACTTATTTTCTCATATTCTCGCTTATAAGTTTGGCTAATTACATATGAACTTTTTAAATCTAGTTGAAATAATGGAATAATCGAGTAACAACCAAGTATACTTGGTTGTAACAACCAAGTATACTTGGTTGTAACAACCAAGTATACTTGGTTGTTACTCCTTGGTCGAGTAACAACCAAGTTGGTCGAGTAACAACAAATGGTCGAGTAACAAAGGAGTAACAACCAACTTGGTCGAGTAACAACCAAGTATACTTGGTTGTTACTCCTTTTATTCAAATTAACTTTAATTTTTAGTATATTTAATGTAAGGAGACTCCCCCCCCCCTCTATATCCCCCTCCCCCCCTCCTTATATATATATATATATATATATATATATATATATATATATATATATATATATATATATATATATATATATATATATATATATATATATATATATATATATATATATATATATATATATATATATATATATATATATATACTGCCGCAAAGGAAGCGGGAGTTCCTTTATTAAAACTTAAGTTACTTTGTTACCCGGATTAGACAACTACTTTTACTTGATGTAAGCAGTTTATATGTCATTAACCAAAATTATAAGCAAAATTCTGAAACTAGTCCGAAGCAGTTGCGTGAAAAATGTTTATAAAGCTGCTTTGGTTATATAAAAAAAAATTTTCTAAATTCGCTAAATATCATAAAAATAGCTATATAATTTTCTTGCATTCGAGTTCATTGCATAAATTTTACTTTTTGGATTATTTAAACAAAATAAGTAAAAATTATTATGATATTATAAATTATACAATACTATAAACATATTTGTTAATAATAGAGTATCAAAACAGTTAATTATTGGTCATAGTTTCTTTACTACGTACAAAACAAAAAATATTGAGTTTCACTAAAAAATATTCTTGCTTTCAAAGCAAAGCAACAGTCTTTTCATTTACCTTACTTTCGAGTCCTTTATTACAAGGGGTGGGGGGGGTAGAAAGTTTTCCCACCCATCCTATGTTTATCAAGACCCCGCTTTCCCCGTTTATCAATTTTTACTTGTTTTCAACAAAAAATTTATATTTCAAAACTTAAAAAAAATTCAGTGAAAATGGGCCTTATAAAATAGAAAGTAAATACTTCAGTCACCGATAAAAACAAAAAATTTCAAATAAAAAAGATTAAAAAATCGTCGACTTGGTTTGTCAAAAATGAGCTTTTGGTTTATTTCTCACCAAAGTATAAAACTTACATCAGCATATTAAATCCTATTAAAATTATGATAAAGCAGCTGTTAGAAAATGCGCATTTGACCGCAAGTCACGCTAGAATTAAATAGTTTTATGCGTCATTGATGATGTTGGTTTAGAAAATGTACAAGTTGGACTTATTTAGGTTGTATTTTTAAATTATCATTATGTAAATTTGTTTAATGCGTGGTTTGTAAAAATATTAGTTTAACACCTCCTCTTTTATTCCCGCCCCCTCCTCCTTAAAAACCCTGCCTCTCCCATCCTTCTACTCGAGAGTTGAAGAAGTTATCCGCTGCCAACAAGAATGTAAAAACAATTAATGCTCATCATTTGGTTTGAAGTTCTCAAAATGAATTTAGCAAAAAATGCGGAAAAATTGTCTACGTGCCATCATTAAAGAGGCTCTACATTAGATGTAAATTTACCGGTATAATTTAAATAAAAGAGGGTAAATTTTCCTTACAAAAATTTTTTCAAATAAAAATAAAGGGTTGTCCATAAAGTAAATATGCTCGTAGGGGGAAGAGGAGAGGTCTTCAAAAAGCGTACGAAAGCGAATAGGGGGGGGGGGGAGTATTTCAATGTTCATCGATTTGTCTAATTTATCACAGTTAACCAGCTAATAAATAGAAAAATTAAAATTCTGACGTAAGACGCATTTCAGACTCCCCCCCCCCCCCCACACACACACACACACACACAAAAACTTGTCATTTGGGTCTCAAAATCTCCCAAATTTTACCGCTAGGTTTTGCTAAAATAAAAAGCTCCTTTTTAGCAAAAGGGCACAAAACGTTCTACCCCATTCCCAATAATTAAGGGGTACGGGTTGCCTATCCTCGGCACTGGGTTTTAGGCTTTGTTTTCGATATTACTGATCACGCTTAGGTCTCGTTTTTTACGGACTTACTAAAGAGGGGTGCCTGAAAAAAACGTCCGCCCTAAGTATAGTTTATTTTTATTTAATTCATTATTAAAACAAAAAAGTACAATATGATTCGATCGGTAATCGAACGCCGGTCGCCGCAGCCGCAGTCCGCAGCATTAACCATTCAGCCAAGCGAACACATTAATAAGGTATAATATAACTTTATTCAAATTATTATTAGCGAATATATTTGTTTTATAGACGTTTTTTAAATTGGGAGCTTTTGGGCAGTAGCGTAGTGACAAAAAAAAGGCCTCCCGCAAAACCTTTATCCATCCCCCCCCCCCAAAAAAAAAAAAAAAAAAAAATTTTCTTCCCCTCAAAACAAAACAAAAATTATATATGAAAACAAAAGCCTGATTTTTAAATACAATTTTGATTTAATTTAATGGAAAAAAAGTGTTACATATTGTATAGCTAAGAAATTGTAGTTCTTAGCTTTACAATAATAGAAAAAATGTGATTAAATATATTTGAAAAATTTGGCTTGGGCCCCTAATAAGTCTAAGCTCTCCCGCTACTGCGGGCCCATTGCTACGCTTCTGCTTTTGGGTTGCACAAAGTATCTAAGGCACCTCTTCTAGCTTTTTTTTTTTTTTTAACCTTTTTCATTATTAAAAAAGTTTGGGGAGGGGGTATTTTAATAACTTAAGAGAGGGGGGGGGGAAGAACTTAGAAGTACGCATGGCAACAGGGAGGCGGGAGAGGGTCAAATTTTTTTGGCGTACGTACATCATGAACGACCCCAAAGGTCAAAATTTACCTGGCGGTAAATTATCAAAATTTTCCGGTAAATTTAACGGAAAATTTTCTGATAAATTTTCCGGTAAATTTTACCTTCGCAACACTACTTTACATGCCATGGAGTATAACTACATTAATTTATATAACTATATATATATATATATATATATATATATATATATATATATATATATATATATATATATATATATATATATATAACTATATATATATAAATTATATAACTATAATTTGATCTATACCAGCACTTTTTTTCAGACTATTAAAATCTTCACATAGTTCACTTTGATTTAAATTAGGTTTGTCCATAATTGCATCAGTCGTTGCTCAATGTTTTTAAAGAACAGGACAATATTTGTCTATTTTTTTTTTCTTCAACAGACTGTTTCTAAAGGTTCTTTAGGAAGAACCTACCTGATGAATTTTTCCTGATGAATCTACAGAAGGAGAAACAGCCTGTTGAAGAAAAAAAACATATTGTGTTTTTACTAGTATATATATATATATATATATATATATATATATATATATATATATATATATATATATATATATATATATATATATATATATATATATATATATATATATATATATATATATATATATATATATATATATATATATATAATATATATATATATAATTTATCAAGGACCTATTTCTTAAAAAGAATCACTCAGTTGACTATTACGCACAAGTCCAAATAGCAATGAGTTTGTTTGGACTGACTCAGTGTTTGCTTATAATGGAATTATTATTGTAAACGTTAATTAAGATAAGTGTTATATTAAATGATCATTTCATATATTTTTACAGTTTTATGAGAGGATCTTTAAAGTAAATATGGCACATTCAACATGAATTTATAAAGCTACTATTGTTTGGCTTTCTGTAACTCCTTTGTGTAATAGTTGATTTCT